AAGAGCCCTAGCCCTTCAAACAATGCAGTCGCCGCTCCTCCACCGCAACCGGCCCCAAGTCCTCCTGCCCGGAAACGCTCGGCCCCATTTTCCTGGTTTTCCACAAACAAAGACACCTCTACGTCTCCGCCAGCTCAGCCTTCTGGGAGAAGAAACACCGCAAGCTCCATTGCTACCCTGACAAGCAACCCAGAAATGATGCTCAGTACGCTCACGGAGGAAAACCAAGTTACGAATGGCGCCAATGGTAACCATCGGAAGAGTCTCAAGGACAGGTTCAAAGTTCTACGAATGCGCGAGGAAGCTGGTATACAGCTAATTCCTGGCGATGGAGACGGACAAGAGGATGCGCTTGGGCTCGTCAGCACAGACGGTAAGACTGTGCCCGGTGACAAGAGCCCACTGCCTCCAGTGCCGAGTCCCAATCATGAATTGGCCCCTGGCACAGCATCTGGAGTTAATGCCGGGCCTTCAGCAATGCAGGAAGCCCAAGTGGATTGGGATCTTTGGCAGTCTGTCGTCTATGAAGGTCCGGCAGCGGTAGCCCGAACCAGCCCCGAGGAGTTGAACAGGGCCATTGCTACGGGCATTCCCAACGCTATTAGAGGAGTCATCTGGCAAGTCCTTGCGCAGAGCAAAAATGAACACCTTGAAACTCTGTACAAAGATCTCGTCACCCAAGGTACCGACAAGGACAAGCAGAATATCCGCAGCACAGCTACTAGTCCCACTCCCAGTGCCAGTGGCATCGCCTCCTACACAAATGGTGACGGCGTGAAGTCTTCCGCATCATCTATTCATTCGAATAAGTCGGCTGGCAATGGCAGCACGTCACCTAGGAGCGAGAAGAGCCAGGAGACGATTGCAAAAGCACAGGCTGCATTGGTCGCGGAGAAACAAAAGAAACAGAAAGAGCGGGCAGCCAAAATTCAGACCCTCGAGAAAACTATTCGACGTGATCTTGGGGCGAGAACGAGCTTTTCCAAGCATGCCGCTGCTGCGGGGCTTCAAGAAGGTCTGTTTGGCGTCTGCAAAGCGTATGCTCTCTACGACGATGGTGTTGGCTACGCACAGGGCATGAATTTTTTGATCATGCCATTGCTATTCAATGTAAGCAAAAACACCCCCGTCTAGCCAGGCCACGACGAGAACATGACTGACACTGACACTCTTCATATCTAGATGCCTGAGGACGAGGCATTTTGTCTGCTCGTTCGTTTAATGCACCAATATAAACTACGGGACTTGTTTATCAAGGATATGCCGGGATTGCACATGCATTGCTACCTATTCGAGCGTTTGCTGGAAGATTTGGAGCCAGCACTGTACTGTCACTTGCATCGTCGCGATGTCTCCCCACATCTTTATGCTACGCAATGGTTTCTCACCTTATTCGCCTACCGCTTCCCGCTTCAGCTTGTTCTCCGTATCTACGACTTGATTTTGTCCGAAGGCCTGTCTGCTGTTCTGCGATTCGGTATCGTGTTGATGCAAAAGAATGCTAGCACGCTGCTGGGATTATCCGACATGCAACAACTTACAACGTATTTGAAGGACAGGCTTTTTGATGTGTATATCGACAAAGATCCCAGCCAGGGCAGTATCCTTGAAAATGGATTCTTTGGGAGCTCCAGTTCCAGCATAGACAAGGAGGTGTATAGAGCGGACCAACTTGTCCGAGATGCATGCGAGGTCAAGATTACGCCCGAGATATTGAAGATATATACCACGGAATGGGAGGAGAAGACTCAAGCTAGGAAGAAACAAGAAACAGAGTTGCAGGATCTGAAGATGGCTAAAGAGAACCTGGCTGGTCAGGTGCGAAAATTGGAAGAACGAGTCCAGGCTCATGATGCCGAGCAAAAAGATCTTTGTAACAAGCTTGTTCATTGCACGGTGGAGAGCGATCAGTTGCGAGAGGAGATGGAGACGCTAAGGACCGACAACGAAGAGCTACGGACCGACAACGAAAAGCTACGGAAAGAGAACGAAAAGCTACGGGATGAAAACGATACGCTACCGGGTGAGAACGATAGGTTACGGGACGAGAACGAGGGCCTCCAGGGTCAGGTTAAGGAACTGAGGAACGTGATTCAGTTACAACCTGAGGAGATCGAGAGGAAGTGGAAGATAGAGCGGAGTGAAATGGTGAAGAAGAATGCAGACGTCTACCAAGAAAACGTAGATTTGCAGAATGAATTGCACAGACTCGCAAAGGAGCTGGCGGATTGCAAATTGCGCTATGCCCAGGTAAGTGACTTCCAAACCCTGAATGGTAACCACATTTGGTTTCTCACTGAACGACTAACATGTGCTTGTTTCACTACAGATCAACGATGAACACGAAACCCTGAAAACCAAATGGACCGACATGGGTCGTCAATTTCGCACATAACACTGGCTCTTCTCTGCACAATTTCTTCCACATTATATACTAGTGGAAAGCAACGCGTATAAAATTCATTCTCTTTCGTCCTTCTGCTTCTCCTGTTATTGGAAGCATTCATGTACAAAAACAAAAAATAGCTGTCATAAGCTACCGCATGGCGTTATAAGACCTCTCCTTGTTACCTGGATACAAGGTGGTAGAGGAAGGAAACCATAGCTGACTTGATGTATGATGATATCGGCGGGCTTGCATACTACATTCTTGGTTCTCGGTGCATTGATGGATTTCTTTTGTGGTGGGCTGGACCTTGACATGACAACAACATGGAGCGGGTAATCACAACGATAGGATGAGTACTTTGTAGAAAAAGTGTCACAAGAGAATAAGTTACCGTACGTGGATATCGAGCGTGACTTATCACAAGTATTCGACCACCTGGCTAACGTATCGCCCTGTGATACCTTGAGGGCCCGCGGAAACTGGACTGGTTGTGTCGTGATGCAGGAGGAAACATTGAAATACAAGGTTTATCTCAAGGGACATGCTTAAGTCCCCGAAACACAGCAATACCTCGTCCACCGGGGACGCAACTCTACTATGTGACATTGTCTTGTCCGCTTACTGCTATGGGCATGGCAACATGGTTCAGGTATTATTCATGCATCATATACAGCAAATAAGTGTAATTAAATTGTACAGTGACATTTCACGTTAAAAAAAGTTTCTTTTGTTTTCATTCCCTATGGACCCATTCCGATGCTTCATGTCAAGCTCTTCATGCCCTGAAAAAATATGCCCAAGACAATTGAGAAAATCCCTTGAACACCATTCCCGTGAGGGGATTGATTTTTGGACACCAGCGGATGGGAGCTGCCATGCCGACTGGATCTCCAGCTTCCCAAGCACAACCTCTCCCCGTTCTCCTTGGCCAATGCGCACACAACAAAAACACACTTTACTTGTGCAGCTTGCGCTGGTAGAAAGCAAGCTCCTCGCCCTCCAAGATGTAGCCATCGCAGCGGCCGGACTGGCCGGGACGGCTGGAAATAATGGCGTACAGGCGACCGGCCTCAAACTGCTTCTCGAGAACGGCGTCGACCTTGCCGGTGGCGGCAAAGCGCTCGGCCTGCTTCTTCTCGACGGCCTTGCTCTTCTTGGTCTCCTCCTCGACCTTGCCCTCCTTGGCGGCCTGGGCCTTCTGGCGTCTACGGCCGAGGGACTGGCCGTAGTGTGCCTCGTACCACTGCCGGAAGGGGGCGGCGTCGACCTGGACGACGGCGCTGCGGGTCAGGGTGTTGGTGCGGACGAGCTCGTTGTTGGAAGGGTGGTACGCGACCACGATGACACGCGTCTTGCGGGTGCATCCCTCGGAGGCCCAGGCGAAGTTGCCCGAGTCGAGACGCAGAGCACGGTACTTGTGGTTGCCGCCGCGGGTGCGGACGGTGTGGATGCGCTTGGCGCCGATACGGGTGTTGGCACCCTGGCGGCCAGCTTCGAAAGCGCGCTTCTTCCCTGTTGAAATAGGTCAGAACGTATGCTTTTTATTGACGAGCAATAGCATACGGGCTTTCGATTGTAGAGGCAGAAAAGAATATATATGTTGCTCAGGGGGGTATTATTGTCTGTACGCACGGTAGAAGGCACGCTTGGCACCGGAGGCGGAGCGCTTGTGGCGGGAGTCGCGAGAGATACCCATGATTGCGAGCTCTAAGAAAGCAGAGAGTTAGCGGATTGATATTGGACAGAGGCGTATTTCAGAGCACATCAAGAGTAGAGGTCGGTCGGTGATGCTTATCCAAATGACGGAACACGCCGGGCCGCCCTATGGGAATTATTCGAATTCGAATGACGGCTTCGAGTCGATGGCTTGTATTCGTCGTTGTTTTGGTTCATCGTCGACCTCTCAACTCTCGTGCTGCGTGTGTAATTTGCGAACTCACCTGATGATTATGCTGCTTCACCAGTGCAATCGAATTGGCGGCGGATGTGGGAGGAGGGAACTTTTTGGGCGGAGTGCTCGATGAGGGCTGAATTGGCAATCGAAAAATTGTGGTTGTGGGTTTTCGCTAGCCCCAAAGGTACCCTCCTCAGGGCTTCGGAAATTCACGTTCTTCCGGGAACAGTAGCGAAAGATCGCGCTGGGGACCCTGACCTACAGGGCACGTTGGAAATTGTGGGTCAGTAAGGATTGCCTACAGATACCGCATTGGAGCCTTCGCACACCAGAGGGATAATTGGAAACGCGTCACGTGCAGACTGGACCCATAAAAGTGAGTACAATTGGAAACGCGTCACGTGTTCATGTTTCCAACAAGAAATACGCAATCGTTCCCACGTGATTCTTTGATAAGAGAAGGGGTGTTTTTGGTCGTGTTCTATGGCTTGATATTAATCTATGTAGGGAAATCGTTGGTAATTCATGTTAGTTCTTTCCTATGTCTTTCCTCGCGTCTTTGTATCGCTCTTTTGTTGGCGCAACCTCCCATTCTGCAGTATTACAAAACGGTCTCGTCTTTGTTCACAATGAACAAAGTGTTGAACGTCTAGACAAAGCCTTGCCGTCGTTCAGTGGCTGCAAATCAATCTTTTCGTAGGCTATTCGAAACGCCCATCAATCTTCATGCCCGTCTCCACTGAACTGCCCAGTTTCAACAGCCGTTGTGGCCAAATCATCCATCTTCTTCTCCAAAGCCGTCGCCATCGTCCAGTTCTCATCCAATTCTTTCTTCATGTCTTCTATCGCCTTTTGTAGGTAATCTGGCAGTTCCTCGAGAACCAGTTCCGTCGCCTGCGAGAAAGGGGGCTCGGTGGGAGCATTGGGAGGGGATATAGAGGGAATGAATCGAGTGTCAACTTTCCAATGCCTCACGCCGCCAAGGTCCGTCCCGTCCGCAGAATAACAATGCTCTTTCTGATACGCCGCGTAGCCTTTGACATCGATGTTCAGCTTTGGGAGAGGGAAATATCGCTCATGTCCACCCGACCGTTTGTCGCCCACCTTCTTGAGCTCCGCCAAAGACGGCCATGTTACCCATTGAGCATCGTCGTGAGAGATGTGTTCTCTGAAACAATTTCGCGACGCAAACACCGTTGAGAGATTGTCTGAGAACTTTTTCCCATGAAGTAATTGTACCATGTTTACATGCTGTTCATCTGGGTCCTCGGCAATCGCTTTTCTGCGGTCCCGTGCTGCCTCTAGGCGTCGCATTTTTTGTGAACACCGTACCTTTTTTTCCTCTGCCATATTTACCCAAAGGCGTGCCAGCTCAGCTGTGCTTTCTGGTAAAGACGGAGAGCTATCAGCCCCAATATGGCGTAAATTTTGCATCATCTTTCGAAACATCTTGAGCTTTTCAGTCAGCGGGCTCTCCCATCTGTTAGACTGGGACCATGACACTTCGCCGCCTCTACTTGCAAGGTCGGATTGCATGGGCCCTTTTATTGCGCTGAAGGCACCTTTATGTGACATCTTCTTGGCTATATTTGTAGCGGCTCCGTGTTCAGATATCGATGACTTGATCGTTATGCCTGCATCTATAGATACCTTTCGATGTGTTTGTGATTTCGAATGCAAATTTCTCGATATCGCTGGCACAGAATCTCTCATGCCCCGTTTCTTAAGACGTGACGTCTCGTCGTCACTCGCATAGGAGTCGAAATTCCGAATGTGAATCTGACTAGATTCGGCTTGCTTCGAATTTTTGACGGGGACGCTCGTGGTTTTCTGAATGGTGTGTCTTAGTATCCAACTAGAGATCTGCTGTATTGAGGAGTACGAGGCACACTCACACTTTTTGCCTTCCCCGAAGCAACCCTCTGAAAGTATTGAGATTGCTCCAAATCGCAGCTCCTCACCTTGGCCCTTAGTAGTGGCGCTATATCTTGGGACGGTATTTTATATGGCTTAGAGGTTCCTGGCGAAGCAGCATTTCGACAAAACCTGCGGGGCGGCAATTCGGACTCTTCATAGTATGGGTGTAGGGGAATAGAATCTGCATCCGCATTAAGTGAACTTTGTTGTCTATGATTGTCAGCCATATTGCCGATTTGGGTCGAAAAAGCGTTGGAGAATAATGGCACAACTTCAGACCAAGGCTGAGATGATGGTTTTGGGCATTCAGAGCTTTGTTGAGCATTTGATGAGAGGCAACTGCCGAAATCAAGATTCGAAGAGTCGTTGTACCGCAAGAGTCCATGAGTACTTTTGGCAGACACAAGCGGTTGTTTCAGGACACCTTCTCTGCTCTTCCATGATTCTGGCTCTCCCATAACGTTCAAGACTGTAGGTGGTAGTAAGTTTAAGCTAGAGACGAGACTCTGGGATAAATTTTCTGGGTGAGGGTTTACAGAGGGCTCACTGATAGTCTTGTCAGTGACCCCTCGTCTAGGCCGTGTCTGGGTTTGGGTTTGTTCAATGTCAAAGATATGCCCGGGCCCAGGTCTTGAAATTGCCGCTACAGTGTGAAATTCTTTGTCTGAATATGCTAGTCTGGGAACGACTGGACCGTACATAAAAGAACCTGGCTGGGGATGTGTAGGTGTAGGACAATAAGCCCCTGCGACTTCGACAGGGTTGTACCATAGAGGCATACTCCAGCCCGGCGGCGGAACGGCATAATTTCTCAAAGAAACACCAGGATATAATGATGAGAATCCATGGGATGGTGTCTGGCGAGGAGTTAAGGGCTGATGAGGATGATTGTATAAGGGAACAGTAGTCTGAATCGGGATCTGTTCTGGTGAAAACCTCCCCAACGTGGGTCCATGGTAGTCATCGTCCAAGGCCAATGCAGATGAAGATGACCCCAATATAGGAGTAGAAAGAGGAGTGAACTTGTTGGCGCATGGATTCATTGTTGAACTGTTCTGTCAAGGAGAACGTTGTACACCAAGAGTTGACAGTGTCAAGTATCAGAAAAGAGCAGAAGGCAGGAGAGAAGGCGGATAAGACTTTTTGAGGATGTGATGGTCTAGTTCGTCGAAGCAGCACAAATGAAAGCCTAACATATGCCCAGAGGCTGATGATATGAATCAGAGAAGATTTGGTCAAGTGATTTGGTGTTCATGTTGATGTGCGGCGGCGTAGAATCGGCGCTTAGACGGCAAAGTTTGTTGCTGGACGCCATGCACCGCTGGTCGGATTAACGGACGTTGAGGGCGCACAAAAAAAAAAAGGAAAAATGAAAACAGCTTGATGAATCCTGCGAGTAAAGAGAGGCTCCAAACGACGGTACTGGGCCGCGAATCAAGGCATATGAAAGAATAAATGCCCGTGGCGCAGATCCAAGCAGCGACTGAATAAGCTGAAGCAAAAGGAGCCCGAGGGTATCGTGCTGACAGCCGGGGTCCCAAGCAGCAAAAGCGAAGATGCAACGATGCAGAGAAACAATGAATGAATAAAAGAAGAAAGAAAAGAGCTGACGGGCAGCCGGCCAGATGTTGGTTGGGTTTGTTGGCACTTTGGAGCAGTGAATCGGCACCTGGCAGATGTGTAAAGCTGTGGTCTGTGTTTGGGGCTGCCCGACCTTGTCGAAACGTTATTACGTGCAAACAGACGCTTCTGGCTGAAGATGACCCGGCGGGCCACATGAGCGTTTAACCAGGAGTACATTTCCTGGCTGCAAGTATTGACGTATCTCATGTTGCAGGCTTCGGATGCTGGATGTCATCGTAGCCCAAATGGAGGTTAGATGGCTACGGCATGGCGGACGGTGCATTGTTACACTCTCGACACCAGCGTAAATCGAATAATGACATTGGGTGTTTTCGGCGTGTCAAATGAGATATCGGCTTCACCGTCTTGTAGGATTTTATACAATGCTCGTCGGGAGGTGTAAGATGACGAGACAACTTTCTAGAAGTCGACACTGCAGCATCCGTTGACGTAAACTATTAATAGCCCTGGCGGAAAAGCTGACCAGTCCGGGGTCGCAGCCGTGAAAGGGATGGTAATGGACTAGAGAGGGCATGCTCTATGTAAAGCACGATCCTTGCTCGTGAGCGAATGACTTCTGCCAAAGATTGCCATACGCAACTATACTCTGGTAAAACTGTGACGCGCAAATATATTGGCACTGATACTCCGTACCGTGGTTGTAAATTCATGTACACGCCCCTGCCCCCCTTCGACAATGCCCAGGCGTGGTGGCACCTGCCAATAATGCCACAGATGGTACGCCGAGCAAGGAAAGCGCAAGCAACACATGCAGACCGCGACCTGCAGCGCAGTGGCCTTGGAGACCCACAGCCATGCCGCGGTTGGCCTGTGGACTCTGGACTAGCTACGACACGTACCTAGGTAGTACTTGTAGAGCGGTACAATGAGCAAGGGGCCGTCACATCCCATCACTTTTCCCAACAGCTTGTGATGGTGCCAGCGGATGTGTCTCCTTCACCCATTGCTAGAGACGCAGCATCTACCCACAATGGCTAACACGACGCTCAAACTCACGAATCGCTGTAAGTGTATTGTCTTGCAGTTCTAGTAGCTAACCCGCGAAACCAAGCCATTGACACTTCTGCTAATCACCACCCATGCCCATATCTAGCTCCGAAGCAGCCCATCAAGAGGCTTCCCACAACCGTTGACCTACCTGCCGATGCTACTGTCGACGACCTAAAGGCTGTGATCGCCAAAGAAGCCAAAATTTCCGACTTGAATCGTATTGGCATCTATGACCCCACTACCAAGAAGACATTGAAGAATCGTAAAGCTCGCCTGGCAGACGAGCCAAATGTGTCTGCCGCCAACGAAGTTCTGGTCAAGGATCTCGGTAAGGAGCCCGCATCCACATCATGGAATTGTTGAAAACGGCAGAGTCTAACAGACAATTCACGCAGGGCCCCAGATTGGCTGGAGAACTGTCTTCGTCATCGAGTACTTTGGCCCTATTTTGTTTCACGCCCTAGTTGTGGCCGCCCGTCCCTACATCTACAAGAATGGTGATAGCGACATGTCCACAACACAGTGGCTGGCCTTTGGCATGATTGTGGCCCATTTCATCAAACGCGAGATCGAGACTCTCTTCGTTCACAAATTCTCCGCCAACACCATGCCAGTTTCCAACGTCTTCAAGAACAGTTTCTTCTACTGGGCTCTGTCCGGCCTTCTTTGCGCCGTGTCCATCTACAACCCCAACTCCCTTGCCGCTCGTGCCGATAAGCCTGCTTTCGACCTCGTTGGGCTTGCTCTTTACCTCTTTGGCGAGACTGGTAACGCCCTGGTCCACCTGTATCTGTCTTCTCTGCGCTCTACCGGTGGGACTGAGCGCAAGATTCCCTCTGGTTACGGGTTCGCCATTGTCACATGCCCCAACTACATGTACGAAGTTTTGTCTTGGGTCGGTATCATCATTGCCAGTCGGGACTGGACGGTGGCGCTTTTCATCAGCATTGGCGCCGCGCAGATGTTTACCTGGGCCAAGGGTAAGGAGCGAGCGTATCGCAAAGAGTTTGGCGACAAGTACAAGAAGAAGCGTTTTGTCATGTTGCCTGGGCTGTTGTAAGTCGACGACGGAACCATAAAATACGCAAACTGTTGCATAAATAAGCAACAAGGCATGCTTTTTTTCCCACAAGAGCCTCAACTGTTAGGGCTCTAGTGGGCTAGTAGAAATGGGCAAACGCACATCGGATGCTGGAAACAGGGATATTAGGAAAATATAGCACAGTAATGCATCTGATGAGCGATGATGAGGATCAGGAGTTTGGGTGGAGGGAGATTAATTCAGAATGAGGACGCCGTACGAAATATACTAATGCAAATTGGCGGTTGAATATTCAAGCTGCTCCTGTAATAAGTTCCATACACACAAAACTTGCAACGTCTGTCCATGCTAGTCACAAAACATCATTCCATTGCATTCATACCTTGTCATATCGCCGTTGAAGTCATAGTCATGTCTCATAAGATGCCCAGGTCACATTCATCGTTCCCTCTTCCTCCCCCTTCCCATCCCTGAAATCAAGAGCCCAACATACTCCCATCGACATCCTTCTACGACTCCGTCGACAAGCTCGCCGTCTCGGACCCCTTGGCCCTCCCCGTGCCCGTACTCGAATCCGGCTCCATCAAGCTCCTGCTCGCATCCGACCAGGTGCTCCTCCCTCCCTCCTCGGCCTCGGCCTCCGTCGTCACCATATCGGCATCCGCGCCAACCGCCAACCTCGCCTCCAAGCTCACCTTATTCCCATCCCGATGCATACTATTCGCCAAATCAACGTCCACATCCATCATGCCCTCCTCGCCATACTCCCCGTCGTCGTCCTCCTCCTCCTCCTCCTCGTCGCCGCCGCCGCTCTCATCGCCCCCGCACTCACTACAACTACAACTACAACTCCCGCTCCCGCTCTCGCTCCCGCCATCCTGGCGATTCGCCAACCGCACCGTCTCCTCGAGCACCAGGAATCCCCTCTCCAGAACCTCGGCCCAGTTCTGCACGTTGCCCAGCTCCTTGACCCTCCTCGCCGCCGCGTCCGCCTCCCGGGCGAGCTTCTCCGTCTCGCGGCGCAGGCCCTCCGTCGCCCGGACCACGTCGCGCTCCTGCTTGTCCAGCGCGGCGGCGTTGTCGTGCAGGATGCCCGCGCGCGACTGGAGCTGCGAGTCGATCAGGTTGCCCATGGAGGCGACGACGGCGGCGCGGGCCTCGGCGACGTGGCGCTGGGTTTCCTGCGAGGGGAGCGTCTGCTGGAGCGGCGCGGGGGGGGCATGCGCCGTGATGGCGTGAGGCTGCGTCGGGGCGGCCGTGGACGGCGGGATGGAGAGAGATGTTGGCGGAGAGGCATGGCGGGGTGGTGAGGATGCTGTCGTTGGCATGTTGGGTGAATGTTTCTTGTTGTTGTTGTTTTATTCCCTTCTTTTTCTTGCAGATGGATTGCTTGGGACTTTACGTAGTCTTCTGCACGGCTGGGTTATGCCGTGCTTTTTTTGCGATGCTGGGTGGATCAATAATCGTTATTGTGAAGACGAACTGTTGGCGTTGATTTGCGTCGAGTGTGCTCGACTTCAATATGCGCCTTTGCGCCGGTCCGGTCCGCACGTCATCGTGTGCACATGATGCGACAGCGAGAGACGTCGTTAGTCAAAAAGAGGCGGGGGGTGGGGTCAAGACTTTTATTTCATGTAACAGCCGCGCGAGCGGCAATGACCTGCATCAAATCGGCGAAGCGGACATGAAGGGACAAAAGAGGGCAGATGGGATAACAAAACCCCAGGGTATAATAAAGTGCTCTGCATGTGTAAACCGATCCGACGCAATTTCATGACATGCTAGTTGTTGGGCATGAATTCTGACAACATATATTAACATAGCAGCATGATGATTATTTGTACATGAGTTGGTTGACCTTATCGTCCTTCTTTTGTGCCCGTGTCCGTGCCCGATGCATCACTTTCAAAGTTATCTAGCATCTTCCTTTTTGTAAAGCCTGTGTGGTTGCATTATAAGCTCCCTTCCCTTCCCTTTTCTGCTCCCCAAAGAAAATTCACGAGATAAAAGCAGCCTCCTCCCTTGGAACGCCGGGATCGAAACGTCGAATAATATGCCCTCCCTCTAGACTAAGTATGGCATGATGGAAGAAGAGCACACAACAAAAAAAATCGCATATCCTTGATTACATTGCCATTATTCGCGTCATCATCGAGAACACATTCTATAGCACACAGATTCCCCATAACGCCAGGCTATGCGGAATATTGAAAGAGTGAAGCCGGATGATTAGAAATTACCATCCCCAAAAATAAAAAACTGGGCCAGCAAAGGCGGCCGGTCTGTTAAAAATCGGTCGTGTATCATCCCCAAACCATCATCGTGGTCGAGATTCTGATAATGTTGTTGCCCATCATATCGTTACAAAGCCAACCTCCCGCCATGTAGTCTAGATAGCCCCAAGCCTCCATTTGGTGGGCTAAAGGGTGCTGATATTGACGGGATTCCATCCGACGACATTGACGAAATAGACGAGAGGGAGTTGAACCCAGAATGGCCTCGCGACATTGTGCCACTGCGAGACATGGATATTCCAGGATTTGCCATTAGAGCATCCGCGCGATCAAAAACGTTGCCATGGAATGCCGCGGCAAACGAGGCGCTATGCGGTGTTGTAGAAACGGTCGCCTGCATGGCAGGTCCAAGTGCAGCACTTTGCGGCGTAATCGGAACCTGGGTTGTCGGCGAGGCACTCTGAGAATAGTGACCACCCAGACTCCCATTAGGCCCAGAAGATCGCATTAGATTGTGCCAGGGTGATTGTACGATTATGTTGCCAGTCTCCTTCATGCATTGCTGAATAGGTCGCAATCGCATCCTTGTATCGGGCGGCAGCGGAAGGCCGTCGATGGACTTCTTGATCTTGGTGATCAAGGACCACCAAGAGTTGACAAAGTTGTTACACAAGGTCCAGAATCCGGGGTGGGAGCGTACACTGGGGTCATTGAGTTTAATCAGGGACAGTCTGTTCCGGAGGATTTCTGTCTGCTGTATGGTATAGCCACACATGGCAATTAAATGTTTCCAGTCCTGGACGAGAGCCATTGGGGCGCGGCGCTGCATGGCCGTCCTCAAATCACTCTGCAGTTGACCGTGGAAGCTTGGCAGCGTGCGGAGAACTATGTCAGTGGACTTTTGTAGTGATAAAAAGACTTTGTCAAACTGTGCATCCTCTCCCGTGTAATCATTGGCAAGATCTCGGCTGCCCGTAGAAGAAAAGGACCCGCCGGACCGTGGTGTTGCCAAGGCGAGTTTTGCGGTCCGAGTTGAGCCATTGGCGTAGTGAAGCGGGAGGTCTGTTGCGACGCGCAGGCCAGCAGGATTGTGGACGACGGTTCCATTACGACTGCGCAAAAGCCCAGTCCGATCAGCCGTCGGGGTCGCAAAGGGTTCCCGTTGGAATGGTTTTATCGTCTCGCTAGCGTCTGGCATGCTGCGATTCGATGATTGAGATCCTGGCCGCGAGGCACCAACAGTGGCTAAGGTTACACGAAGTTCCATGATACTATTGTAGAGTAACATCAAGAGCGTGCGGATATATCGCGCGTCTCCGTTGTTGACAAAGGTATCAATGTTCTCGGCCAGAAGGGTACAAACGTGGCCGTATGCGCTGACAAGGGTATGGCAGGCTCGATGCACGTTTTCATTATCTATGGCAGAGTATTGGCCATTCTCTAGGAGCGTCGTGTCGTGTCTCTGGACCTCTTGTTCAAGCTCCTCAACATGCGAGTTGGTGTTGTAAAAGACGATTTCTAGACTTGACCGTTTTGCTGATCCGTCACTTGTCAAGGTCATGAGCATCTGTATCATGGGGTGGATCTGAAAGACGGAATACAGGATGCCCTTGGCTGCTTCAATGATAGGGTCAAATATCTTTGACTCTCGCCGACGTTCGGGGAGGACAGATAATCGGCGAACATAAATGGGTCGCTGGAGGTATGGGTCACTGGGCGTCGCCGGACTCTTGACACCTTGGGGCGTTCCTTGCATGGCAGAACCGTGGCTCAGGCCGCGATAGTGGCTAAAGCGATTATTTGCCTGTGTCTCATCGAGGGTGCCCAGCTCAGATGGCTTCCTGGATACGATTCCCATGCGTCGACTGCGGCCGTCCGGGCCTCGATCAGATCGCAGCAATGTCTCGGAGTTGCTGCGAAGCCTCTCATTCACATTTCCGATGGTTAAAGGCATGACGCCCGGCCGACGCATCGCAGTGCTTTGTTGCGATAAGCCACGGTTATGCGACCTCGTCGGGATTGGGGGCGGTCGGGGTGCACCGTTAGGAGACCGCATATCAGGTACGTCAGCGCCATTGACCTTGATAGGAAATCGACCGCTCGCGGCTCGTCTCAAAGGAAACCGAGGTACGTCGGTACCACCCTCGCTGGACTCATCACCAGTTGCGTCACCTTCCATCCGTCCCGTCATGGCAAAATGCCGAAGAAACTTCTTAATTATGGCCGTGACGGCGACCTCGGTAACTTCGGTTTCTCTCATTATGCCATCATGCGGCGGGCTTCCGGATTGTGGTCGTATGGCGTCCTTGGGTGGGAAGCTAATTGGGTTGCCTTCAAATTTGAGCACTTGGAGGGATCCCATATCGGCGAGGCACAGAGGCAATTCCCGAATTTGGTTCTTGGGCACAGACAAGACCTTGAGTGACGATAACCTTGCAATGTCTTGTGGCAGTATTCGAAGCTGATTCCGTCCGAGGTCGAGAATTTCGAGAGATGTCAGGTCGCATAGCTAGACAGAGTTAGGATTTACTTCAAAAAGAAAAGCGAGCAGCCAGGGGCTTTAGGGAAGGAATAATAATCATTACCGCTATCGGGAACTCTTTGATTTGATTGCCTCTGATATTTAGGTACCGCAAAGACGTGCATTCGGAAAATCGAGTCGGTAAACTTGACAGTTGGTTGTGCGACAAAGCAAGTCTACAATGCCAGAAGAAGAAAAAGGGTTCATGTTAGTCAACTGGAGGTGCTTTACGTAGAAAGAGAAGAAAGAAGCATACCGTTCTAGTTGATCCTTGACAATATCTATCACTTCTTCGGGTAGTTTTTGGATTCCCTTTCGACTCAGATCGACAGTGACGCCAGCTCTTAATGCAGTGCCGACAGCACCAGCCTCAGCAGCCTGACCCTCGCTCTCAAGGGCCGTCTGCATAGCCTCTCGAGCCAAGCCAATAATCTGCGCGGCGCTAGTGATGGGACTGGACGCCGACAAGGTCGCGTTGGAAGACGTATTTCGAAGGCCGGGAATCGGGGGCGGCGGCGGGGGAGGGCCATTTGAGGTGGCAGCGGAATTGGGAACGGGACGCCGGCCTTGAGCAGGATTATCGGGCAATCCACGAACAGACGACGACGACGTTCCCGGATTGCCAGCTGGCATCCGTTCTAGCCACTCCATGGTGGAAGATGGAGCAGTGCTGGCACTTGCGAGAGAGGCGAGGGGGTGATGCTTCTCACGCGTACACGTCGCGGAGGGGAGGAGCAAGAGGTTGTCGGTCGGCACGCCGACAAATAAATGGACAGGGCAGCAGTCGGATGGCCGTGAGGTCGTGTGGTCTGCTGGACGTCGCCAAAAAGGTTTCAGAGGTCCCTCACGCAAGCCAAGTCAGGGCCCTGAGGGTCTCAAACGTCGAAGCCGATATGCTAGGGTCGAGGGGTTGCTGCTGCTTCAAGCCGATGCAGGCTGCGACAGGATGCTGCGCGAAACACACAGGTTCATGATGGTAGTGACAGCAGCGGAAGGGGGCTTCGAAGTGGTCGACCGCGAGGTGATTGTTGGGTGAAGAGGATTGATCACATTATCTGAGTCGACATGCCAGGAGGTTTGGGTCTGGGTCTCGGGGGACTGGGCTGGGCTGGGTTGGGCTGTGTATGGACTCAGTGCTGGATCGACGGTATTAGACGGTGGACGGTGGACTATGGACTGGTGGACTGTGGACTGGTGGACTGTGGACTGGTGGACTGTGGACTGGTGGACTGTGGACTGGCACTGGGACCTGTCGATGTGGTGGGCTGTGGACTCGAGTGCTGTGGATTGGTGGTGACAGGGACATGGATTGACTCGACTCGACCCGTCAATGGCACCAGACATATGTACAGGGAGCTGCCGCCGTCTGGACTGACCAGCTGCTCAGTGCATGTCTGGTCAAGGCTGGTCTGGTCTGGTGGTTCCATGTCCAGCTGCTCGACTCGGTTGTTTCTGGACAGCAACAGCCAGGGGCCATTACGGAGTACAGAGTACGGAGTACGGAGTACACAAAACCTCAGAGCCACATGCAGTTGACAATATTGGAAGGCTGACTGTGATGGAAGGATGCATGTGCACCACGCAGCCACCCAAACAAAAAACTGCGTCGACATGTGGTGGCGGTCAGGCACACCGGTTGACCCCAGCCAAACAAGAGCGAAGACCCTGCTTCTGCGCCGTCGAAGCCCTGCGGCGCCAGCTTGTCGACATGGAGTATTATTCGTCGTGTGGAATATTACTCCGTACCTCAATGTTGAGAGCAACACAAGCTCCCGCTGCACCAATCGACGACGCCTGCATGCTGCGGCTCGGGAAAAACAGACAGGGACCAGCCTCCTGACGTGCTTACCATGAATGTGTTTATAATAGACGGTGCTCAAGCACTTGCACGGAGTACGGAGTACCCAGTCATGGATTACGAACTACGGAGTACTTAAGTACCTACCTACCTAGGTAGGTACCTAAGTACGTAGCATGTTAGTACCTGCCCTTGTTTTTTTTTTTTCTAACTCGCTTGGCCATAAGCACACATGCGTTTGCCAGAGGCTGCAAGTTGAACAAGTTGAGCTTGCTTCTGGCGCAGTCTTACTCAAACACTAGCTGCAGTGAGGCGCCCGTCGACCGACACCAGGAGAGGCAAATCGGATGGTCAGTAATGCCAACAATTGCTCCTCCGTCCCCTGCCCCTGAATGACCCTGGTGACGGGACGGACAGGCATGCATGCGTTTTATAGACACAAACACACGCCTCGAGTTGCAGCATCGTGGCAGCCACCGTTGTCGCGCCATAAACAGAAACGTCGTCATCATTGTTTCTTCTGTTTCCTCCCGTCATGGTCCTTGGGCCCGTTTCGTGTGATGCAAACGAGTCAAAACCACAAGTGCCTCGGGGCTTTAACTTTATTTGGAGCCCTACGGTGAACGACGTCGGCGTTTGCAACGTCGAATGTTTTAGGGGCTTGCCGAGAAATTGCCCTTACTCGGATCCGTGTATGTATTGTGTATTGGGAGCACGGAGTTGTTCACGTCTGGTACGTACGTAATATCGAGCACCCCTTGGACCACGTTCATGCTTCCTCCCGGCCTTCTGGGTTCGGAACTTCCAGTGTTCGGAAGTTCGCCTTCCATGGCTGTTGTGTCTGTAGAGAACGGCTCGAGCCGGCCAGGCCGGGAAATGAATAAACAGTGCCAAGGTAGGTAGATATCCAACATGCTGCATGTTTCCATCAGCAGTGCATTGCAACGCATGGAGACCCTGGGACGATCCGGGCATCCCTGTGTGATAACCGGGCGTCTCCCTCCTGCTGCACTACCTTTGGTATATTAAGAGCTCTGCAGACTATGCTTGGCCACGTCGTACACATTTATTAGCCACGTTTGTCAGTCCAACATATTGTTATTCGTGGTGGACAAATCATAGTCGAGAACACGCAGTACGGGGTAGGGCTGGTATGCTTGTGCAGGCTTACCAAGAAGCAACGTTCCAACAAGGTGCTGCTTGCGAGGTGTGTGGCCGAGACAAAGCGAGCCCTCGCCGCCGAGCCTCATCATCAAATATAAACGGGTCATGATATTCACTACAGAATATATTAGCCCGTCACCAAACCTGCGGAGTGGCAGGAACCCGGTCCTTGACAGAGGTTACACTCACTGAGTAAGATAAACGTGCAAATGACGACAGTCCTTCTGTCGGCTCCACCACTCTCAGACGCTCATTTCGCCCACGATAAAAATAATATAACGTCTGCCCAGTTCTAATGTCTAAAGTCCTTTGCTACCATGACTCTATCTCGGTGGACGTGCTAGCTCGAGTGTCGCTGGCACAATATTCAATTAATGTCTGGTTGGTGGGTGGCGCCTGCTACCTCTGGACGAAGCACTTGCGGACTGGACCTGCCTTCTCCCGCGCTGGGTCCTACCTGCCTCACCCGTGCACCATGAACCAGTCAAGAAACATCAACTGCTACTCTCTCTAGCCAAACCCCAACACGATGTCATCAATATGCTCGTGACAGATTTCAACATCATTGGGCCTCCATATCTGATTCTTTTTGTTTGCCGCTGTACCCCGCCGCCCATCCAACCGCTTCGCTATTTGACATGGTTGAAATCCGAACATTGAGCCTGATTCTCCCTCATCACGACGCGTCTGACAGTGTCTGCTCGCCCTTGCATCATGCCAGCTCTGCAGCGAACTAGTTCGTACACAGACATTGGATTCACCCTGCGACGGCAATTCAACAAGAATGAGTTCAGGTATGTAAGATTAATGAGAAGCGATACAAGGGGAATATTTAATAGAGCTCTGATGTCCGGATGAAATACATCGTATCCGCCTACATTGCTGACCTCGGCGTGTTCTTTGCTAACGGCCTGGCACGAAGGCCATATCAACGTGAAATCATTGAAGCCGCTCTCAGTGGACACGATGTTTATGTTCAGGCCGCAACCTCTTTCGGAAAGAGCCTGTGTTTTCAACTTCCGGCCGTGATAGACCAAGGAAGTATGTTGATAGTTACACGTTGTACAACCACCCACTGACCCTGATTTCAGTCACTCTAGTCATCTCTCCTCTGCTGAGTCTTATGGTACGGTTAATGGAAGACGCTTGTAACAAAAAGGCTCTTCAGCTGACATGCAACTAGATAAACCAGGTCGAAGCTTTGAGAGCATCAGGTGTCGATGCCAGCTCCCTTAATAGCAACACGCCATATCCAGAGAAGGATCGCATACAACGAGATCTAGAGACTGGCCACCCCAAAACGCGTCTTTTGTATGTCACTCCGGAACTTTGTTCTGGTTTCAGATTTCGTGAACGACTACAATTGGTCCATAAGCAGAAGGAGCTGGCTAGAATCGCCATCGATGAAGCACATTGCATTTCTGAGTGGGGGCATGATTTTCGCAAAGACTTTAAACGGCTTTCTTGGTTCCGGGAGACTTTTCCTGATGTACCCATCATGTGCCTTACCGCCACCGCAAACCCTCAGGTAAGGGAGGACGTGCTCCGCATTCTGAAGTTGGACGAGACTCCGGACAGGATTAAAATGTTTCTCATGAGTCCGCAACGGCATAATCTTCATATAGAGATTCGATACACTAAAGACCAAGAAGACAATCGGCTTGCAGATTTCTTGAAGTGGATGCGAGCCGTCTACGAGCGGCGACGAATCGAGTCCAGGAAAAAAGAGCTGCAAGACGCGGGTGAACGCCCGGAAGGCGTCTCAGGTATTATTTACACCATATCGCGGGACGAGTGTGAGACTCTCGCAGCATCTTTACGCGAAGAGGGAGTTGGGGCCCGCCCCTTCCACGCAAAACTCACCAAGGAAGTGAAAGAAGAGACTTTAAATCGCTGGATCAATAACGAACCTGGCTATGATATTATCGTGGCTACAACGGCGTTTGGCATGGGTATCGACAAGAACAATGTTCGATTCGTCGCCCATTGGCGTATCCCAAAGTCTTTTGAAGGATATTACCAAGAAGCTGGTCGCGCAGGGCGTGATGGCAATGCCAGCTATTGCTTCTTATACTACAGTCGCGAAGATTTAGAACGCGTCATGCGAATGATTCGCAGCGATTCAAAGGAAGGATCAAACCTTGACGCTAGGCTGCGTAGCCTTCAGGCCTTGGCTACTTATTGTGAAAACACAAATTCTTGCCGTCATGCACAGATATGCAAATATTTTGGCGATAGCTCTTCGCCGGCGTGCGATTTCGCTTGTGATTGGCATAAAGATGTTCATGATCTGAAAACGAGATTTCTGAAGGGTTTGGCGAGCCCGGACTGGGTGAGCTCGCAGGTGGAACAAGGCACATATGATGGCCACGATTACTACGATGATGATTAACAACAAAGGCAAGGATCCAAAATGCCACAAAAAAATTCAATTGCTTTTCTCTTAGGCAGCTAGAAGGTAAGTAAAAATAGAAAAGAATAGACGTAGCTACAAACTTTCAGGGGAGTTGCTCTCGACAGCCACCTCTTCTTAGGCTAGTGAGGCAAAGAGCTTTATGAAGCTAAGTCAGTCCCGGCAATAACTACAAGCACTGGCTTTGGTAGCTGTCTACGTGATGCACGATGGGATATGCTTGAGGGCCCAATAGTAGCTAGGTATATGGTCTTTGGTCAATTTCAGCACTATCTGGTTCCAGACTCAGTAATATTCAACTTAACAACCCCAAGACACAGTCAACCAGTCGATGTAGCATTCGCAACATGTTTTGTCGCCATTTCAATGCCCAATAAAGGCACAGCCCAGCTCAAAATTCATGCTACTCTAAGCCGCACGCTTTCCCTACTCCTTCTTCTTGCAAAAGCCCTCCTTCCAACCCGGCTGCATAACGCAGTAGAATTCGTTCGAATTACAGCAGACTTTACCGTCGAGATTGCACCCGTTGGCTGTGTTATCATTAGTATTTGGTTACACTAGAGGACAATGAGATGCTTACCTCCTGGGCTAATGCATGTCTGCGTGTTAGGGTCATCAGCCTGGACTCCAAGAGCCATGGCGATGGCAACGGCGACAGCGAGGAACTTCATTGTGAATACTGAGTCGAAGGTAGTAGGGTTGAGTAAAGTGATGAGAGAAAAGGAGGTGTGGTGCTGTTGTTTCTGTTTCTGTTCTTGTTATTGTTGTTGTGAGTGATGGGTTCGAAGGGTCTGAATTGGGCAGGGCAGACTCGAGCTTTTATAATCGTGGACAAGTGCCGGAATGACTTCATGTCAAGCACGATGAGGCAGGCGCAATGACGCCGCGGAGCTGGAGCGTCGATTGACGGACCCAGATGCGTTAGAGCTTCCTACGCATGAGGCCCTGAGCCAAACTTGCAACAAACGACTTTTGCCGCACACATTGCATCATGACACTTACACCGCGCAAATTCTGGGCCTTGGTAAACATGGCTTGTGTTTTACCGTGCTTTGGGCAATCATTGTGTCTTTCCGGTATCCTTGTGTTTCGGTCTTTATGTGTGTATAAATATATTCGTCTTGGGTGTAATCATCTTTGTATAAACCCGTTTAACCAGCCTTGCAGTTTTTGGGAGCATGTGAAGCACAAATTCGGTCAAATTTTGGAGCGAGATTGTATTATTATTGATTCGGAGCCAAGAAGGGGCAATGCTCCCCTCACAATGTCTTTGTGCGCGAGGGCGTCGTGTAACGGACCACCTGGCAGGAACCTATGGCCTTTGTGCTGTCAGAGCATCCCCGGATGGAGGAGGCCAAGCAGCGGCAAGGTGACTGGCGATTCATACTCTTCTGAAACTTTTTCACTTCCTTCTTTCTTCTCGTTGCAAATTCAATATTGGGTGTCGTATCGGACCCTGCAACTACGAGGCAGCATGGTCTGGGACTGGCTTGGCGGTGCTTCTTGGTCTCCAAGAAGGGGTTAGAAAAACAAAGATGTACAGGTTGGACTTGTAAGAGTGCACTTCTCGGCGTCACGGGATGGGGTTTCCAAGCTCAACCGCTACAAAGAAGAGTGCCACGGATTGCGTCTTGTGTGGACATTAGCCGAGGCTATTGTTGGAATTCGAGGTGACTTGACGATGTGTGGGTGTGTGGTCTGTCCGTCGTCAGATGAGATCTCAGCATCGCGGTGTCTTACGGAGAACGCTACTGTTGCACGATAACGGGCCGGCTATGACTTTCATTGTAGCCTTGACCTCACATGATTTGAATCTTGTTTGAAGTGGTTTGCAAGAGAGCCCCTGCTCTGGCCAAGCCGTTTTGTTTCATTTGGGAAGGAGGTTGTTGGTTCCGACTGGCCAAGACCAATCAGGTGGTTCTCCGAGTCAAAGGATCGATTGGCCCTTGGCAGTAGGCCTCAACCAGTGTAGGTATATGTATCTCACTCTTTTCCATCTTCCTCTTCTACGCTCATTCCTCATATCCTCCATTCCTTCACTCGGGTACAGTACCAAACCAGGCGACAGATGAGGTTGTAAGTCCAGGTCGGTGAGCAGCTATACGACATGTATCCCCCCAAATCACTCTCCATCACCGTCTCATGGATAGCTCTTCTCAACCGGCATTTACTCAAGCAAGTGGGCTGCGAAAGCCACACAGACGGGTCCTGCTCCTTCACGTCTATGTATCGTCCCGCCGTGAGGTAACGTACCTTGGTGCATGGAGGGCAGCCAGAACATACACCTGAACCACTGGCTTGGGGGCCTCTGCTCCGTATGCCGCAAATAGGCATAAAACATTGCAGTATAGACTGCTGACGTGAGATTACTCACTGCGCATTTCGGTCTTTCGGGGCTTGCTACCCTCAGTCGGCTCAGTCTGCAACTTGGCGGTCCATGCACAACCAAACACGCTCCTTTCAAGACGATGTCGGCGGTGGAATACTTGCCATTGCATACTATGTGAAGATTGCAAGAGAAATGTTTCTGGGGATAGAAGACGCTGCGTATAGGGGGTTCGGCAAATCAGCCCAGAACCATGCGTGCGTTTCCAAATATTGGAGTCTGGAGCCACACAATGGGCAGCCTATCCCAGCGAAAGCAAGTTAGCATCTTGTAAACAGAAATCTGGAAAGAATTTAGCAGCTGTGCTTACCAACTACATCCTTCCAAGAAAACACAAGATAATTTGTCAGTTGACGAGTGTGTAGAGGGAGAAGTTCCTGAGGGTTGGGCTTAAAATATCTTGTACAGGGGCCCAGAGCATTTGTGCCCGAGGCTATGCTGCTGACGCATTCACGGTGGATTGCCTTTCCAGAAGCGACATGTGACGAGGCTGCAATATGCTATAGGAGTAAGTCTTTCTATGTTTATATACCTGGCGAAGAGGTTGGCGAACGCGAGGCCGCAGGGGGAGGGTCGATGATATATGGTACGCTTGGTAAAATGGCAGAGTGACTTCAACAAGGTGTTCACCGACGATTGAGATACTCGATTTTTATCAGTTACGTGCGTTCTAACACTTCTGTTATTTGTCCAACTATGACTACGACTGAGCCATTCCACCGAGAACCCCTTCTTCAAAAATGCCACTCGTAGCAACTGAATAGGCGGAATTTGAATACACCATCATCTAGTATAAGTCTAATGAATGATCAACGTCTAGATACTTGCTCTGCAGCACAAGTAGAACGCTCAGCAAATAAATTCCACAAACGCAAAGCTCAACATGTCAAGGCCCCCGAATCCCAGCGACAAAAGGGAGAGGCAAGTGCCACACCATGCATCCAACACGTCGCATCCCACCACTTTGTATGCTTTAAAACCCCCCGTTGGGATTGGGGTTGGGAATGACCCTGCCAACGTTATTCACGGGCGGGATGACACTCGTGCCCGTCAAGGCCGCCGCCTCCTTGTACCTCTGCAGGCTGACGCGGGGATTATCAAAGTTCTGGTTGATAACGCCAGCCATGCCCTGCTGGCAGTGGTTGCCCTTCTGCTGGGGGCAGTAATACCAAAGCGGCTTCTTGTGCTTGACTTGGAGCTGGAAGACGTTGGGCGCCTGGCCCTGGCTCGTGACGAACTCGAAGCCGGGGAAGAAGCCGGTCCCGTCGGCCAGGGGCTTGCACGGCTCGGCAAAGGAGGACTGCACGAGGGAATGGTTCTGCGGGAGGAAGTGCCATTCTACAATGTCCCCAATCTCGGCGACGACATTGTCCGGGTCGAATCTGAGCCCGCCCAGGCCGGCGACGACGGAGTGTGTTACTCCCGTGAGGGTGGTGGTCTTGGTGGCGTCGCTGGGGGAGGTGTTGCTGGGTGCTGGGGCGGCAGAGACGGCGGCCGCCAGAAGAAGGGTTGCAATGGCTTTGAGAGACATTTTTTTTTTTTGGATCTTTGTGTGTGTGAGTCTCTTGTGGAGAGATGGAAATATATGTATGTTGTATGCTGGGACGTGTAGACGGCTGTAGGAGTGAGCTTGCTGAATGTTGAAGTTGGTGATGAAAAGGACCTGGTAGTGAGGATAACAACCCCTTTATTTATTCCTCCAACGCGTCTTAGAATACCATCATCCCAATCTTGAATACTTATTTTTATTCTATTCCCATCTCATGACCTTCTCAGATTCCACATATCGCGTATAAGCCGACAGGCATGTGGCCAACGGCGCCATCCAGCCTTACGTCCCAAAAAACTAAAAAAACATGGACGAATAAACCAGGCACGGCCGCCAATTGGCTGAATCGGGCTGCTTCTTACCAACTGGAATTATTTTGGCGTACGGAACCAGCTGTTGCCGTTTGGGCTGTGCTGGGTGTTCGCTGACGTTGGGGCCTCTTTTTGGCGTGTGATCCGTCAAGCCTGAGTGTGTTGTTCTGTATACAAGCAGTGCGCCAGTCAGCGTGGCGTAATGGCATAGCCCGACTTGGGACGAGGGGCCAATCATGACGATTTTTGTACCTGGGCTTGGCTTTGCGCACGGGGATGTGAGTATTTTGGATGAAGACATTTGGCCCGAGTGGTCAATTGAGTGGATGGCCCTGCTGGTCATGAGCATCAGTTTGTGCTGGTCGTCTTACACGTGTTGTGGTGGTTGTGGTGGTGGTGTATTGCATGGGATGGATCCGCGGCTCCAAGTATAGATGTGATATTTCGACGTTGTTGGTTTGAACAAACGAAGTATGTACACATGGATTTGGTCTCCTAGCAAGAACGCGGTGATTGCTGGTCAAATCACCATGGCATTGACATGGCTGTGCCTCGCTGTTTGACCAGAAGCGTAGAGAGCTTTCTCTTCATTTCTCTCATAACGGCCCAATCGTTCGTTTTGATACTGCAATCATGGGGAGCGGAAAGGAAACAGGTCGCCAGGATGATGAGGATATATTCATCTAAGCTGCATCACCCCGCAACACACACAAGGGTCGTCATCAGCGCCCGGATGTGGTTCATTCTGACAAGTCTCTCCGTTCTTGTGACAAGGCCATTCTGCCACATCATCGGAGTTTCCTCCTTGCTTTCCCTAGCTGGTGCCCAGGTTAATTATAGAGTATCCATTACGCCTTGAAGGGTTCGCAAGTAGGCAGCCGCTTCAACAGCGGCCGCAAATGACGCAACTTGAGACCGGCATACATTCGGCCCCATGAGCATTCGTGGCCACTACGACGGAGCATTAGCTACAGAGCAAATCTCAGGTAGTCGAGCGTGGACATGTTCACGAAAATGATCCATGTCCCCATCAGCCACCTCCTATACAGGCTCTTACCTAATGCTTCTTCGCTTCCTTTTGGGCTCTCTTTTCAGCAATCACGCTATCAAACCTCTTAAACACCATGAGGCCCTCAAAGAAACAACTCACTACCCACATCCACCACTGGCCGGACCACCTATCCACACCATGCTTCTGCAGCCTCGTCGCATCCAGCACCATAGGCTCAATCAAGTGGATGGCAAGCACGGGGTAGAAAATAAGCTTGACGGACCAACGGAACATTTCAGGCCCACCAGGGAAATAAGCAGTGAGGATACTCCAGATGGAAGAGCCGGGCACGATCCAGGGCAGGGCGAGGAAGGAGACAAAGTAGAAAGCGACGGACGCCATGACGAGAGCATCAGCGACCCGAGGAGCGCGGTATGCCGTCATGTAGATATCGCTGATGCCTAGGCTCTTGCGGGCAATGGCATCCATTTCAATGACTCGGGGGCGCACGTCGTTCCACGACTGCAAAGCGGGCTTGAAATGGACAACGTAGTCGGCACCGCCGGCGCGGATGCGCATGCCCTGAAGGGTGACGTCTCGCAGGGAGGCTCCCCGGGCCTGGCTCGGGGTGAGGCCGCAGTAATGACGGAGGTAATGGGTGAGTTCGCGCGTGTGAGAGGTGTTCATGTGGCTGAGGATGCGGTCTTGGAGACCTTGGTCTGCGGGGGCGGGAGCAGCCATTGCGACGGATAGCTATTCGAAGATTGGCAACTCGGCAATGCTTGGAGTCTGTAAGAAGACTACGGCGTCGGTACGGCGGTGTTTTTGGCTGAGAGAGAGAATGTCAAGAGACGGAGAGCTGTAGCCGAGGGAACGAGGTAACGAGGTGAGACAAGTCTGGTGGCATGAGGCATCAACAAGTGATGTGGGAAGCTCTGAAGCTTGGGCACCCCGGCACTCACGCAAGCAAATCACATTTGAAAGGTGGTGGGGTGCCGCGGGACGGGATTGTCAGAAGCACCGATGCCGTCTGGTTTGCTGTGCAGGTTGTGCAGGATGTGCACATGTGCAGGCTATGTGCATGGTCGTGACGGGATGAAACTGGTCTCTATTGTGGTCATTTGGTACCGCGTACGGAGTATCCCACGCAGAGGAACAATTAAGCAAGGAGATGGCACTTGAAATGCACAATGGACATGAAGCCGGTAATGCAGAGAGCACGAGGACGGTCGCGGTGGACTAGGATGGCTGCAGTAGGTACCGGTAGCAGTTACTAAAGTAATTTTGCTTACGGCGTGACGGCCCGCCTGATACTCCGTAAATACATACATGTAGTAACCTACCTCTGAGTTTTGTGAATGCATTTCCAGATGTGCATGCATCTATCTTTCTGGCGTTTTGTGCCGACTCCCACCCGCGAGTGGACTTGATATATGTACATACATGCACAGTCCATGATGCTCTCGGGCAAACAACCATTGGAACGGCCATGCATGCGGCAGAAAAAGAAAAACGAAAAACTTGAGTAATTTTAAGGGGTTAAAAACGCACGAAACGTGGCCCTGGACACGCGGTAATAAATCCACCACACCGCAAAATCTTCATGCCCTTCGATCTATCGAGCATCGTGTAAAAGCGAGGGGGTGCCACTCAATATCAATGCTCGAGAAAAAGCTGTGGCGGGTTGACTGGCATCACAGGTGAGCCAGGCTGCCTGTCGTGGAATACAATAGTCCAAGCCAAGATCAAAAGTGCCCCAATAAAACAAGTCCCTCAGCGTCCCCCTCATCTTGTTGGCCTCTTGGCACAGCGGCCATGCGTTTCGAGGCGCACACAAAAATGAAGCCGGTGTGGATGCTTCCCTTATCAATCAGTCACACCTTGGACCATCATCTCCACCCCGACCTCGTGCAGCTCCTCAACAGTCCCATACACGGGTCCACAAAGCGAGAAGAACTTGAAGCGAAATGCCCACCATCCCTGTCGCGATAATTTCGCTTTCGGTCAGGAATGGCTGTTGCCGGCATTATGAGACCATTTTCGGCAAGCGAACCGAAGCATGGAAGGGAGGGGTCCGCTCTCGGGGAGGCGATGCGGATTCTTATCAATCAGTGACGCGAGAGGATACCTTTTTGGCGCGCAGAGGCCGCGGGGGGCGCCATGTACCTCGCGTGAATGGGGCCGTGCTGGCGCCATCAAAAGCCGCACACTTGCACGCCTTCAATCGGCGTTTGGCGTCGCTGATGCTGTCCGATGCCCGGACCCTTGACACCGTCAGCCTTCCAATCGGCCATATTTATTCTCTGGATCCCCGAAAGATCCGCAATTTTATGACTCAACGCCTAGGTTTCAAGGTGGTTGGCAGACACACATTGATCAAGTCTGGTTGTAATGGGCATGGCACGCCAGGATGAAGACGAAGAAGACACTTTGCAGCTGGGTGAATAGGGGGGGGAGAAAAGGACCACGTATTTTCGATTTTGTATTTAGCTTCTGCTAAAAGGAGAAAACTAAACAAAACGAAGAAGGGAACGGCGTATACCAGACGCGTGCTAGTCCAACGTTTGCATTTCAAAGCTTCACCTGTCTGCGCGGCCGTTCGTAAGCCACGAGTTGGACTGGACCCTGCCGCTGCTGTTGTGGGAAACGTTGTCAAAACGTGGTGCGGCTTGCAATGACACACGCAGGCCAACGTGCGTCTATTTATTAAACCGAGAGATCCGTCTTTGTTTCCCCTGTGGAAACAAATGTTCCTGGGATTGTACGTACACAACTACTACTACATACTTCCAACGCCCAATTCGGCCCCTGCTCCGCCACCAACTCGGCGTCTGAGCTTCGCATCTTCATTGGCTCGTCATCGTGCGCTTCGGAAGTCCGAGGCCATCGACGCCGTTGCAGGACGCTGAGTCAGCCCACCTCTCACCCCAACCAACGGCCATTTCTTGGACCGCCCTCGTATTTCCGCTCGGTGTTTATCCCAAACAGGCTCGCGGGCAAAATTCTGCACCAGTTTTTATCAGATCAGATTGATAAAGATTCCTTTTACAAGCCCAAAGCCCCCCTCCTCATTTTAAAGCACTCGCTCCAAGCTTGGCCGCAAGGTCGTAACTCCGACACGCATTCGTGCATCCAGAGTACACACAATGCCTGAGAGAAGCGAGACCCCGGAATCCGACGCAGGTTCGCGCAGCAACGGTGATGGCGACCAACCACCGGCGCGCAAGCGGCAGCGCGTCCGCCTGAGCTGTCTCGAGTGTCGGCGCCGCAAGCTCTCATGCGACAGAGGCTTCCCGTGTGAGCGGTGCATCAAGAGTGGCACCCCGGACCGCTGCAGCTACGAGTCCCGGAACGGCGAGGTCGTCAACGCCTCCTCCGGCATTCCGCCGCCCTTTGCGCAGCTGGATTCGCGCCGCTTTGGAATTGGCGGCGGTGACGGCCCGTCCGGCTTCACGTCGAGAGAGGACCATGAGAGGATTCGGAGGCTGGAGCTGGAAATCGCACAGCTCAAAAATCACCTCGTCAGACCTGGCGGCACCGGCTCATTCGATGGCAGCACCGTCGCCGCCACCGACTCACCGGCGACCAGGAAGGATGAGAACCTGGCCGAGACTGAGGGAGTGCCGCGGCCCGACGTGCAGGAATGCATCGAGGCCGGCAGCATGAGCGGTGACAAGGGCGAGCTTCGATTCTTCCGCGGCAAGGGCTTCAGGACTCGCTATTTCGGCCCTCACAATGCCAGCATGGCCTTTGTGGAACTGACTGGGCTGTGTCCGTTCATGAGAGAGACGGCCGATGAGTGGCTCAGGCCGGTCATTCTTCACGATCGCAAAGATCGCAAGCGTCGCATGGAGGATCGCGAGGCCCTGTTCGCGAAGCAGGACCCGGAACTCGAGGCCTTGCTGCCCACAAAGGAGGAGACGGACGCCCTGGTTTCCGTGTACCTCGACCAGTTTGAGCAGATTCACCGCATTGTGCACATTCCCACTTTCCGCAAGGAATATGCCGAGTTTTGGAAGCCCGACAGCAAGCAGCGATATGCGGCATTTACAGCCCTAATTCTGGCCATGATGGCGGTGACCAGTTGTGTGCATACCCACGACAGCCTCAAGTTCATCGGCATGATGTCCAATGCGCGCCACTGGGCTGAGAAATGGATATGGGCGTGCGACGCATGGCTGTCGCGGCAGAGCCAGAAGCACCGCAAGCTCATTCACTTCCAGATTGCCTGCCTCTTATACCTGGGGAAGCGAGTCAACACCATCAAAAAGAAGAGATTCTGGACCAGCTCCGGCGCTCTCATCCAAGATGGTATTTCTGTTGGCCTTCATCGGGAGCCCAGTCACATGGGTGGCAAGATCACCGTGTACAATCAGGAAATGCGCAGGCGGATATGGACGACGGTGCAGGAGTTCGACATGCAGGCGTCGTTTGATCACGGCCTGCCCACCCTGCTCAGCCAGCTTCACTACGACACCAATGCCCCGAGGAATCTGGACGACGAGGACTTTGACGAGGAGACGACCACGCTGCCGCCATCCAAGCTGGCCAAGGAGTACACCTTCAGCTCGTTCCAGAACCTGTCTCGACAGAGTCTGCCACTGCGGCTGGAGCTCAGCCGTCTGCTTACGGGACCGCTGTCGGACATTGACTACGACCAAGTGATTCGATACACGAATGACTTGACGCAGGAGATTGACGCGCTGCCCTCGTGGGACATGAACATGGAGGGCTCCAAGGAGAAGAAGAACCCCCTGATTGCCTACACCCTCCTCCACGTCCAGCTCCGTCAGTACATCATCCCGCTTCACCAGCCGTACCTGAAGCTGCGCAAGCAAAACTCCAAGTACCAATACTCGGAGATTATCTACTACAACGCTGCGCGTGACATTGTGCTGCTCCACGACAAGCTCTACGAGCAAGGCATCCGGTCTCTCAACTTCCTGCGGGAAGACGCCCTCACCACGGCCATCAACCTCTGCAGCGTGACGATGCTGCAGCCACGCGGGTCCACCAACATGATCATGATCAACTCGCACCACACTCTCAAGCTCATTGAGAAGTGCATCGCCATGAAGGAAGACCGCCTCCTTCGGTGCGGCAATAACGAGCCATGGGGCTACTCCATCATGTGTGCCGCCCTCGGACTCCTCGAAGCGCACCTGGGCACCAAAACTACCGAGGTGGCCAAGTCGACGTCTGCAGAGCGCTTCGTCAACCTCCACTACAGGCTGCTGGCAAACCAGGAACCCCCCGTGCCATCTGAAAACATGCCCGAGACGCCCATCAGCGGCGCCACGACCCTCTCTGCGCCTGGCCTGGGGCCCAGCCCCGGCCTAGAAGTGCCTGACCGGCCCAAGGTATGTCTCTCCCATGATGTATTATACGAGAACCCACTCACTCTTTGGATTCTACCGAGTATACAAAAAGTTGCTAACATTGGAAACCCAGTCTGTTACGCCATTTATATTCCCACCTTCCATCCCAACCGTGCCCGTAGACCCAACTACGGCCCCTGCAACAGCATGGATGATTGGCGTGGGCGATCAAGCACAGCCCTTTAACATGGATCCAAGTCTGGAACTCCTTGGCCTCAACCTGAATGAGCTCTGGGGCGAGTCGTGGGAGCTCGGCTAGAAGAGTGATGGGGGGGATAAAGATCGTCTCGTTTATTCTTTTTTTTTTTCCTTTTAAAAAAATCATTCGTGCATATTTCATACATCTGGGCACTATATAGTCTCGGCGACGTACTTATACAGGGAGGGCGGAAGAGAAGGAAACGTCCGTAATGATAACGACTTGTTTTGCGAAATGACTGGGCACATTTATTGTACAATAGAGATACCAATATACATACCTAGCGGCTCCGATTCTCAATGACACGAGTGCATGTCGAGAAAATAAAGACTAGGATTTACATGCGTGTGCAATTCCTGCGCTTTGGAATTAATCCATCTTTTGCATATGTTTATGAATTTCTTTTATGCCAGTTAACTGTAGTATTCCGCACACCGTATTCCGTATGCAGTTAGACGCGAGGCGGTAAACAGCACGCGACACCCCGCATACACCCCTGTCAAACGCTCCTCCGATCCACCTAAAACAGGAACCAGCTGTGCAAAAATTATGAGGAAAGAAAAAAGCGCGGGCTACTCCGTGTCGAATATGAAAAAAACGCGTGTTAATGGGGCAATTTGCTGTTTGTTCTCTTTGAGCAAACACGTAGAGCCCCACTTGGCTCCATCTGTGGGTGCCGGTGCGTACAAGTATGACTCACAATGGTCTCCGAAGACGCGGAGCAGCAGACTGGGTCCCTTTATATGCCACATTTGCTTCGTCTGTTTCCAACAACAGGTGTTCAAAGCAACATAGCTCAGTGGAAGAGCGACGGGCTCATAACCCGTAGGTCCCTGGATCGACACCAGGTGTTGCTATCTTTTTTGGACTTTTGTGATTTGTTGAGGGTGTGGTGAGGTGGTGCATGGTGGTGTCCTGTGTTTGACTGAGGTTTTGTGTTTTTTCTTTTTTTTAAAAAAAAAAAATACATTAGTGTAACTTGGTTTCGTTTCTTGTTCTTGTCTTGTGTTGCTATGGGTTCGTGATATTTATAGGGTGTTTCTTGGTGTTTAGGTCTGGGAAAGTGAGGCGATGAGACATGCGGGTCACGGGTTGTCGATGTGCATGTTTCGTCTGAACTTGCATCTTCCTTTGGGGCTATTTGACCTGGCTAGCTTCATGTCCATGCCATGCCAGCAAGAGTCCATCAATCCGCGCTGTTTAATTCACCCAGACAGGGTCCAGTCTCGGCACTTGGTAGTATTGTGCACCACCAAACTTTTCAATTTGTACCAAACCCACGCATCACGACACACCCACCCTATACCCGTCAGAGAAAAAATATGTATATCAAAAAAAAAAAAGAAATGAAAAAAAAAATTCACGACACCTACTCCCAGCACCGCCCAGCTCACGCAAACCCGTCACAACATACTCATGCCCGTCATTCACACCCGCACCGTCAGCCAATCTCCCATGGCATCGGCTGGCATCGGGACTGTTAGGAATTCATGGCTGCATGGAGCTAGACAAGCTTGATGCGTCTCTGTAGACCATTTGATGAAATAAAACGTGTTAGCCATGTATGTAGTTTCGAGATGTCTCATGTCTTGTCCCTCTTCTTTTTCCTCGGCGAGCATAAGAGTCCAAGACACACGCCGCATCCCTGTACCGAGTCGGCACTGTGGAACATTCGAACCCACCAGACCAGCTCAAAAAACCTCCCACGCAGCGACATCACCTCACCTCACCTCACCTCACCTCACCCTCCCACATCACCCACACAACCATGCTCTCGCGCCTAGTCCAGCGCAGGCTCGCCGCCTCCCTGCGCAACTGCAAGACGACTCCCTCCCCGTCCACCAGCAGCCGGTCCGTCCAACGAAGATGGATAACGCCTGCCCCGAAACCCGGTGACGGACCTCTCATGTCCCGCCGAGCAGACCGCGAGCTCCCAGGTACGGCCGCACCACGACCCCCCTCCCCTCGTCCCGTCTCGCCAGCCCCTCGGTGCAAGATGCTAACCAGCCCGCAGAAATCAGCCAAGTCCGCTTCCGCTGGGGCCGCACCCTCCCCATCTTCCTCGCCATCGTGTCCGTCTGCTCCATCTCCATCTTCAACTACCAAAAGACGTCGTCGCCCATTGTGTCCTCGACGCTGTACGCCCTGCGCACCAACGCCCGCGCCCGCGCCATCCTCGGCGACGACATCTACTTCAAGCACCAGATTCCCTGGATCAGGGGCCAGATGAACCAGATGCAGGGCCGGATCAACATATACTTCACCGTCAAGGGGACCAGGGGCTGGGCCACGATGCGCTTCGCCAGCCACCGCCCGTCGTCGAGGTCGCTCTTTGAAACGACCGAGTGGAGCCTGACCACGGCCGACGGCGAGTGGGTTGACCTGCTGGAAGGGGGGGATCCGTTCCGAGGGCTGCTGGGCGATGACGGGCTCGCCGCCATGGAAGAAGACGACCTGCATGCCACGAGGGGATATCGACAGCAGGGCGCGCTGAACAAGTGATTGGCCCGTGGTGGGAAAGGCGGCGACAAGGCCGAGCTTGGAGTCGATGAGAGCATATAGTGAGCGTCTATCAATCACTTTTTTTTGTTTGTTTTGAGACGGGGCGCAAATGGAAGCATCTCATATTTTTGTACAATATAATTTGCTACAGTAACTTGTACAGTACTGAAAAAAAAGGCTTTGGTGTATCTATATATTATACATGTCCACTTCAGTTCATAATGGCCCCCTCCTCCCCCTTTCTTCCAGACATTGCAAATCCTACAGCTCGGCCGCCTTTGACTGCCGCTGCTCCTTCATCTCCAAGTGTCTCTGTCTCGCCGCTTCCAGCTGCGCCTCCCCGCCAGGATGCCGCTCCAGCATCTCCCGCAGGACCCTCTCGCGGTACGGCAGCGCAGGAGCCTTGCGCTTCTTCGCGTCCTGCAGCTTCACCGCGCGGCCCTTGGGCCCCGGGACGGCGCCGCTGACGAGCACAATGCCCAGCTCGTTGTCGACCTTCATCACCTTGAGGTTCTGCACAGTCACCCACTCGTTGCCCATCCGCCCGGGCATCTTCTTGCCCGGGAGGACGCGGCTGCCGCTTCCCTGGGAGGGGCCGGTCGTGCCGATCGTCCGGTGGTTCTTGGAGTTGCCGTGCGACGCCCCCTGGCCCGCGAACCCGTGGCGCTTCATGCCGCCCGCGAAGCCCATGCCGCGGGACTTGGCGCGGACGTCGACGATCTGCCCGGTTTGGAACCAGTCCGGCAGCAGCTGGGAGCCGACGGGCAGGAGGCCTTCCGTGCCGCGGACCGTGAACTCGGCCAGTTGGCTCTTTGGTGCTATCCCCTTTGCTTCGTAGTATCCCAGCATCGGGCTGGTCACGTTGCGGGGTTGTCGTGACCCGGCGCCAATCTGGACAGCCCAGTATCCGTGCTTCTCTCTCGTCTTGTTCGCGACCACCTGCACCTGGTCGAGTTGCAGGACCGTGCAGGGGATGCGCGTCTTGCCGACGAACATGCTCGTCATGCCCTTCTTGGTGGCGAGCACGCCCGCTCGGAGGGGGGTTGTGTTCTCCCGCCGCTTCAGGGCGGCCGCAGGGCCCGTCGTGGGCGCGGGTAGGCCGGCACTGGGCTGGTTGAAGCGTCGGTGCTTGGATCGTGGTGGTGCCGTTGACCAGCCGTATTGAATGCCGCGCTGGGCGGTCAGGGGGAGGAGAAAGCGGCGTGGTGCATGGCTGGCGATTACGGCCGATGGCCGGGGGAAGGCCACCCTTAATGAGAGGCGGGGCGGCATGACCGTGTGTGTTGTGTTGGCGATATTGCCAATGGAGGAATTGGACTGGATATGATGTTTCGCGGCTGTGGAGTTTTCTGAGTGCTTCTTGATTGTCGGGTATTCTACGGATGATGCTGACGACGGTGGGGTTACAGGGTAGGTCGTTTGACTTGAGAGGTCAAGGTTCTGTATAGTTGAGCAACTTGAGCTTCCCCAAGGTGGTGCAGCCATAAGGTGGCAGGCTGTAAAGCCACGGGGAATGTCAAATTCTATAATTTGTTTTCGTGATGATCCAGAACCAGTAACTTTGACCCTTGAATAGCTTCACAATCTACACGCCCGGCCCTCTGCCCCCAATACCACTTCCCATCTGATTCACACTGGTCCCCTTGATTTTGTGATCCCCCGGTTGCGCCGCGGCCTCGTATAAAATGTTTGTCGGCGCCTTGCCCAGCTTTGTCCACTCGCCCTTGAATCCAACATAACTAATCCGCGAAACATCTTCATCGCCATCCCCAAAATTATCCATAAAGAATAGCACCAGCCGCTGGACTCTGCCAAACAGCGCCCTCTTGACGGGAATCTCTTGCACGTCAGACGTTTGGGAGAGCTCAATCTTTTGCACTGGATCCATGTCTTCTGCCGTTGAAAAGTCCAGATTGTCGTGGTTGACGTAGAGATGGAGTGTTTTTGGGGCAGAGAGGGATGGGGATGTGCGGATGAGGATGGAGTGGAGTTTGACTTGGGCCGCGAAGCTGCGTTTTTGTCAGCTGTATGCTAAGAAAAAAAAGAGAAAAAAAGAAAAAAAGGAAAGAAGTAGACTGGGTTTGGTGACCAAGGTGAAATACAGAGAAGATCGAGTGTTGCTGGTGGTGAGAGAGGAAACGTACGGTACAGTCATGAGCAGCTGTTCATCGGCATCGCTTGCTAGCTCTGGCTCGGCACTTAGTCTCTCTGCCCACGTCTTCTTGACGATGGCCTTGCCGGCGTCTCGTGTCGACTCATTGAGTGTCGTGATTTCATCAAAGTTGATTTGCTGGTAGAGCGACGACTGCAGGGCTGGGGTGATGTCGTCTGAGTGGTCATGTTCGTCGCCATGGTGGTGGTCGTGCGCGCCGTGACCGACGTGTTCGTCGTGGCAGTGGGACATGGTGCTGCCCAGGTCTGACAGTGTGTTCCACGTGGTGAATAGTGAAGCTGTCTACTCTGAGAATGGGAGGTCGATGTATAGCTTTCCTGGTGATGGGTATGGTTGGATGAGATGGAGAGAGTAAGAGGCCCTGATGGTGGAGGTGAGAGAATGCCCCGCCGAGTTGACGATGTTTGTTACGGCCGGGATAATGGTTGTGAGTATAACTATAGACATGACCCAACTTGGATCTTACAGTCCACATATTTTCAGGTTCTGTTTTATCGCCGACAGTTTATCAAATACAGCTACAGCCGCAGTTTTGATTCACGCTCCTTTAAACCCTGCGGCAGATGGTCTGTCACTGCTGCTGCAGCCACATTGGGACTCGCCGCGTGTTAGTCTTCATTCAGTGGTCATCTATGTTGTCCTAACGCCATGCATTCGCTAATTGATCCAGCATCTCGTGGTATGGCGCAATATCTGGGGGCATGGCAAGCGATTTCAGCCACGAGTCTTGTAAATTGTTTTCAAGAAAACCTGGACTCGCTTTTCGATCCACGGCCTATGGTGTGGGAAAACTTTGGCACAGAAAACCCAAGGTCAGAAATATTTATTTGCTGTCAATTTCCTTCAAACCATCTATAAACGCCCGGGTATCTTAACAAACAAGTATGCAAACCGCCTTATCTGAATCCACTTTTCCTTTTCCCCTTCTTAACCTTCTTTCTATCTCCAAAAGCACCAGAAACCGGCTGGCTCATTGTCACCGAGGGCCCCGGAACACCAAAAGACTGCGACGAGTCTGGCATGCGCTGCTGACTAGACATTACTTGCACTGGGGGTGGTCGCATGTCCATACTCGAGGCATCTTCGCCCAGGCCATCGCTGGCTGGGAAGCCTTGTCGCATGAACGCAGGGCGCTTGAACTTTTCAGACTGTGCCTTTCTCTTGGCTTCGATTCTCTGCAGACGCCGTTTGGCATGAGAGAACTTCTCCTCTGTTGCAACCGCGATACTAGAAACGTAGTTTTCAGTGTCGATACCACGCTCTGTAGGCCAGTAGGAAAGAACCTTGGGCGGTTTGAGCGAACCTAGCGTCCCTTGTTTGATGGTCGGTGCGAGAAGCTTGAGTCGCTGGAAGGCAGCATCGGGAACATCATCTGCCAAAACAGATGCTTGCGATGATGAGGCACTTGCTTGGCTGGAGTACGGTACTTGATTGGAAGAACGTGGCGTGAAACTGTCCACTTGGCTCTCTTCCACAAGATCGTAACCGCTCGGTCCCATGAGGGGGACATTCTGCACCATGACGCCGTAGCTGGACAAGAATATGTCCCTAGCAATCTCCGCCACCCAGATTTTTCGAATCGTCTGCATCTCATTTGGCAGGGAGTCTGCTACCGCAGTGAGCCACAGTTCAGAAAGTTCTTCCATTAACAAGGGATAACCAAGAAGAGACCCTGGTGGTTCATCTGCATATCGTCTCCTCAGTTGCGTCACAACCACATGTTCATCTGCGCTACCCAGTAGACCTTCAATCTCGGCCTCCATCCCTTCGCCAGGGTCCCCATAGACGAGCGGTTTGTCGAGCGTCGAAACTATCTGTATCCTGCAGCTTATATTAGTATATTTGCCCCAATGCAGAACCCGGAGCCGTCGAACCCACCACGATGTAAGAGGCAAAGAGTTATCCTCTATACCATGCTCGATTATACGCTGAACAGCGTCAATCAACTGCATCGGTAGACCGCTCTCGCCTTCAGAAATCGCAGCTTGTAGATGTGACGTAATTGTTTGAGCTATGGAGCCAAATTTTAACAGCACAGGCCGAGCCTCGTTTAGCGTGACTTCGCCAGAGGTGTCGTCATCATTTGGTCCGGATTTCTGCTTCTGAAGCACAGAATCCAGGTCGTTGTCCGTCACGCTGTCGGGCAGCACGAAGGCTTTCGTCATGTGGTGCAAGAAACGTTTTCTCCTCCGCTTCCAGCGTCGACTATTGGCTGATTTGGACCAACCAATACGGAATGTAGGCAGACTTACCTCGAGCGACGGATCAATGGAGGAGGTGCATATGCAGTATCGCACACCCAAGTCTCTATCGAGGACGGTGATCTGATAAAACTTTGTGTCTGCATGGGCATATTCCGTCCCTGGCCCAGGTTCGTCGCCTGCAGCCGATAACTCAAGCTCTGCGGGCTGCACCCTAATAGACTGCGCTTTGCTTAATGACCTCTCTTTGCTTCGCGCGGACAAAGAAGTGATGTGACGGTGCCACTGCGGGAGCTCCGTATCTGAAGAAAAGTTGAACCAGTACACGGTCAGCTGATCTGCAAAAGGTGAAAAAACAAAGACCATGCTGCCATCTAGTTTGTTTTCTGACACCTGGCAAACAGACATCTTGCAGTCTGTATTCCAAAAGCCGACATGAGAGCAAGCGAGTAGAGTTTTCGGTTGAGCGATAGTTCTGGGCTCTGTACCCTCGGGAAGTACATCTAGCCAGATCACCTGACGAGTGGTCAGGACGAATACGTGGTTTTCGTTGCTTGGGCTTTTTTGAACGTCGAGAATACAAATTGGCTTTTTTCTTGACTGTGCTGAGAGAATGTCTGAATGTGGCGAAACGGAGTCGCTTTCTAGGTCCACGAGGGAGATGCGTTCCGAGTTCCACACCAAGACATGTTGGGAATGACCAAGACTCTGTCTGATATATTCCGCGCGCCTGGTGGTGACATGCGGCGAATCGTCTCCATCGGTTCGTCCAATTTGTAGCATGCCATGCCTCTGGGCTTGATAACTGCACACTCTTGGGATTGTTCCAAGAACACCCTCACATATGTGGCCGCACTTGTACAAAGACAGCCGAAGGGTCTTCTTGGCTACTTGCCAAGTACCTTGTAGACTCCAAACAGTCCAATAACCACATTCGTCAATGATGGCTATTTGTGGCGGAGATCCAACGGACGGCGGGTTGAAGCAAACATCAGAGAAGGCATTGCCACCTGTCTGATGATGATGTAGTGTGACTAAAGGATTTGGCGCAATAAAAGACGGCGGCTGTGACCGAGAGCTCGATCTCCCGCTATCTGGCTGTGGATTTCGATGATACTCAGGACACAAGATGGTAACGGAAGTTTGGCTTTGGACCAGAAGCCATCGCACTGAGCCTTGTTGCCAGTATGCTGTAGCAAATTTGATCTTCATAATGGGTAAACCGTCGCCTGGCCATATCGTCTCCTCTTCCTGATGTATAGAGTCAACAACTGAGAGATTGAGAATCGCATCCTTGTTATCACCCCACCGCCACTGAGACTCGTCCATCCTCGTCAGCCGTAGCCGTGCACCGGATTCTCCGGTGGCCACTGCCAACAGTGGTGTTCCCTTGAGCCTGGGGGGAGCTCGCACATCATTCATCTCGCCCACAGCAAGAAGAGGTCCGTCATTATCGCCGTCTTCCGATTTCTCAAATCGTTCCATATCCTCTTTCAGATAATCACCCAAATCTGTAGCACCCCCTACAAAGACTTCGGGGTGGGAGTTTAATAGCCATCTCTGCTGGACCCGGCGTTCTTTCCACAAGGCAGTTGAAGACTCTGAGACTTTCTGCTTCGATGCCGGATACAACTCTGCCAATGACCCGACAATCCTAAAATTCGGAGCCATCGATATTGGCGCATTTCAGCTCATCATTAGGATTAAAAAAACGGCGACGCCTTGCCTTTTGTTTTGAAGCAACGTGCTCATGGGCAAAAAAAAAGAAGCAGTTGGAGTTTGAAGTTGTTCTTGAAGACGGTGCACGTGACTGCGCCTCGCGAGATTGGCCACAATCTGGCAGTCGCGTCGACCCAGCAACAGCCCACACAAGGTAAACATCCAAGCACCCAGTTGTCAACTTGAGAGATTGTGCAACACCTCAATCAGCAATTCGAAACTAAAACGACGAGGAGAAACACGCACGCGCACAACAGAAATGGCTACAGCATTCGAACCTTCATTCTCTGCCAGCGGTAGCCGGCCAACTATGGCCCCCGTCGGGCCATCCGTCGTGGACTCTCTCCCAAGCATCAATTTTGGATTCGACGATTTGCGGGATCGCATGGCCAAATTCACCACCAAGTTTGACGAATTCATCGAACAAGGTCGAAAAAGAGTGTTGGAAGAACGCAACAAATTCCGCATCAATGTTGTCGAGCTTCAAGGTACGACGATTTCCCTACGAAGACCTGTGTGCTTGTCATCAAACAGCAGGCCCCAACTAACTTGACGAAACAGAGGACCAACGCATGAAGAAAAGAGACATCGAAATTGTCCAGGTCAAGACGGTATCCTACCAACAGACTCTCGAAAAGGAAGACGCCGAAACGCGAGAAATGGAAGCCGCCATCGCCTCGCTCTCCGCCCAGCGCGATGCCCACCTCGCTACTCGAGACAGTCTCAAACAGCAAATCGCCCAGACGCAAGCAGAGATAGAATCGCGGCTTGCGGCCCAGCGAGCACACGCAGCGCAGCAAGAGGCGCAGCAGAGGTTCAACGTGCCGGAGCTGGATTTTTGGATAACGAACTTGTGCTTGCGGATCGAGGGCGCGGGGCAGGCTGACCGGCTGAAGTTTGTGTATACGCACATCGATGAGAAGAACTGGGAGAGAGAGGCGTGGTTTGAGCTGGTGACGAGCTCGAGAGATTACGATGTCAAGCACTGTCGGCCGAAATTAGAGAGGGACGACGTGGAGAGGGTGCTGGAGAAGGTGAATGAGAGTAGAGAGTTGGTGGTGTTGTTGAAGGGGATGAGGGAGCTGTTTGTGGAGGCTATGAAGTCATAGTCAAAACTGTTTCTCAATGATTAAATGATTAATGTATCGGATCGGCCATGTTTGCATGCTGTGTGGTGTTTGGAGACATTCTGGGCTGTGTTTGGGTATATTGGGCTACGCGCGGGGCGATGTTTTTTGCTAGGGTCTGTTTGAATCTTCTGAAAGTACTGAATTGCCCACCTTCGGTTGAATCCTATTGGGATGTTCTCATCTATACAAGTCATCCGCCCAGCACATGTTAGATATTGGAGGGTAATACCTGCTCTGCCATACAATCAATCCATACCCATGAAAACCCACCGCGTCCACCGCGTTCCCCACCACATGGCCCAATCTCAAACCTCCCACCATCAACAACATTTAACTCGCCATGCCGGAGCCAGGCAGGAAACCCGAGCCCGACAAGCGCGCGGCCGCCCAGCAAGCAGTTGACATTCTCCATGAAATATCCACCCTCCTGGTCTGCTGCCTTCCTCTTTTCCTTCATCTCCCCGGCTGCAAGGTTAACACGTCGGTAGAACTGCCACCTGGATAGAAGAGCCATATCGATCTGTGTGTCAATGATCGAAAAGGGCGTCAACCCTGAAGCCCTGGCGGTAAGAGCAGGATGCGGGTCCTTTTATGCACCGGAGAACTGACCTTGGTGTGTTTGTAGGGAGTAATCAAAGAGTTGAGGCAGGAGGCTCAGGGTGTTGAGAGGCAAGTAGCTGGCAGACGGGCATGATTTACATGACGCGATGAAGTGTCATTTCCTCAAGGGCAATATATATCAGATATTGTTGGAGTTTGGGACAATGAGCTTGATTTTAATGATATGAATATATGATATTATGCTATTTGTAGAATGCAGTTCCCAATGCTCACTCTGATCGCTTGTTCCCTCTGTTCCTTGCAATGCGAATGAATACCACGATGCGCCAGGCTGCGTTAATTCCAACATGAATACAAAGACCTGATTGAAAAGCAACCCCCCAACTCCAAATGTCATGCTGAACCCCAAAAATACACACTGCTGTCGGTATATGATCGTTTCTCGTGGCTGCTTGATAAAACACTGCGAAACTCTTCACCTGTGTCCAATGAGAAGAATGTCGTCGTCGTCGTCATCATCCTCATCCTCATCCTCATCTGCACTATTGATACCGTCACTGTCCAGATCGGAATCGGACTCTTCTTCACTGAGATCATCTTCATCTTCATCCTCGGCCTGATCTTGGCTCCTATTCCCTCTCCAGAGCCCCAAAATATCGTCATCGGAGTCGATATTAGCGGCAATTTGAGCAAGGTGGGAGTCGATGCCTGATTCAAGGGGTGATAATGATCGCGCGAACCTATCCGGAGCATGGTGCTGAAGCTCAATTCCGTGTGATGAGTGCCGTCTTCTGTTTGGAATCCAAGTCGCTGCTCGGGATGAAGTCGCTGGAGGAGTCATGGCCGGGCGTTGAATGTCGGGTGAGGGCTGCTGCGCGCTTGCAGCTGCCTCAGCTCTCTCCGCGGCGGTTTGAAGTTCCTGGCTGCCTTGCCCATGTATTTGCAACTCCACAGTGTTGTATGACTGGCATATCGAGCATTTCAGGCCAAGCCAGTGGTAGGGAACAGTGCATTTCCCAGAGCAATCGTTGCAGAGGACAGTCGCTTTCGTATCTCGAAATTCTGGAGGCATAGGCTGGTTTATAATGGCGACATCTAGATTGCGAAATTGGGTTCCCATGTTGGCTAGGCTCTTATTGCAGATTGGACACTTGTATGAGACTTTCATGTGTTGGTCATAGCACTTCTTATGTATGCTGTGTCCGCATGTCATGAAGACCACTGGCTTGGGTGACGTGAACATATACTCTCCGCAGATCGGACAGTCGCAGTCAGTGGACCTCTCGATACACTTGTGAGAGCTCTGAATAGACGTGGTTATACACGCACGGCAGGTCTTGAAATTAATAAGCAAATGTGATGACGTCCAGATTAAGGCATGCTTTATGCTTACCTTGCAGTGAAAAAAGTCCTTGCCAAGACCAAGCCCTCGGCGGCAGATACCACAGTCATTACAATGGTAGATTGGTTTGCTCTTTCGATTCTCCCACAGTTTGCAAATATTGCAGTAATAGTGGGCGGAAACTTCGCCGCAGTTGATGCACATATCAGAAGCCTTTTGGGGTGTTCCACAGAGCATACACAACATGTTTCTCGTTTCCCTCCGAACTAGGCTGTGGTCTTCAGCAGCATCGTGGCAAAACCTGCAAGTGTACCATTTCTTGCATGTGAAACACTGCAACTTGACGTTTCGTTCATAGTGTTGACATCCCAGCGGCGCTTGAGATTCGGGTGGCGTCGTGGAACCTTGACCTTGCAGCTCTACATCCGAGCCCTTACGAGGACGTATCGGCGCAAAAGTCGGGGCGATGTCGCCGTCGCTGAGGATGAACTTGTCCGCCGTTGAGGGTTGATCGGTAGCGTGATTATACCATGATTTTAGAGACTCCAACGGGCCTGGGGAGGTTGAAGGCCCCCATTGATGGCCCAATGATTCTTCCTCCATAGGGGGTGTAGGTTTTCTGCGGTTGGCAACCTGCGAAGCCCGATAGCCTTCGAGAAGTAATTCATGCATGCGCCTGGCTTTCTCAGCTGAAGGGGCATCTTCAGAATTTATGGCCTGAATGCGTCTCCTCAACTCGTGCATTCCGTCATCCTCGGGGATCGCTCGACCCCTCCTCGGGGACAGAGGAAACCCCAAGTGGTCATGGGAAGTATTGTCAACTGATGGAGGAGTTTCCGGGGCGTCTGCCACTCTGGTTTCCTGCGTCGATGTGCTCACGGCCGGTGATCGGGGTGTCTCTGGCCGCCTCGCAATGGGTTCTTCCCCGGGTGTCTCAAGTTGCTCAAGTGCTTCACGCAGGACGCCCCCGGCAGTGCCGGAGTCGCTCACTGTATCAGGATCCGACGGAGGAGTCGGTTCATGGTCCTCGCCAGTTACAGTCGTGCGTGATATCTCAGAAAAGCGGCGAGCTTGGCGTAGGACGGGGTTAATAATGAAGTCGGACACGAGAGAAGACATCGAGTTTCGCCGCACTCTGGTGTTGGGGAACCACCGCCGCGGGAAGGCAGAGAGCAGCGAGGGCCGTTCGGTGTGATGGACGGTAGAGAGGTTGGAAGTGGGCTGCGGGCAAAATTTTCGTCCTCTCTCCTCTCGGAATAGAAATCGGTCTTTGAACACGTGAGAGGGAACTGTACGTGAAGCACAAGACAATGCGACGAGAGCAGAGGAAGGGCCTGGGTCGACATTTGCTGCGACGTATCAAATCATGTGCTTCAGCGCTCTGGAGTTCCGCTGTTTCGTCACCAGCTCCATAGCAGCTGGTTTATGTGGCTTCTAGCGGGCTGGAGGTGGCGGGATAGCGACCGACTACTACTGTACTTAGAGGTCCCTTACTTAGAGGGATAGGTACTTAAGTATGCACAGACTACTTGAGTACTTAAGTACCAAACTCAAGTACATACATGTACAGTGCATGTGGGAGGCAAAAAGTATTCAACCAGCCAGATCGAGTACCTGGCTATCGCGTCGCGCACTATATTATACTACAGTATATTAGCGTATACCTGTTGGTGGGCGATATGTTCTCCCACAGACTGTATTGAGTTCTCCGTATTGCACGCCTGGCACTTCCAGGCTGGTTTTGCAAGCATAAAGTACATAGGACAGAGGAGACTGGATGACATAACATGGATCGTATTCCGAGCGGCGTCGGGTGGTACCTTGTCGGTTGAGGGAAGAGGCTGGCCGTCGATTGATGGCGGTGGGCGCCTTGGATGGCAGTCACTAACAGTCTCAATGGTTCTGGTAGGCCCCTTGATCGCCCGAGAGAAGTCGACGATATCTGGATGCACCCAGGCTCTGAAGTCGTCAGTCTTTAATCAACCAATTGTTCAGTAAGTATCATGCTAAGTATTCAGAGAAAAGCGCAGGGAATGTAGCCCATGGGCTCAAGGGCACGGCGGGAGGATGTGGCCTTGTTCTTCATCTCTGCCTGGGGATCCCTTGTGCGCTATCGAGGACTCCATCTGATAATGTGTCCACTCAATGTCCAAGCGTGCCGTCTCTACGCCGTAGGCTGCTTAGTACCCAGGTACTTTTACCAGAGCGCACAGGGGTTGGCTGGTGCCCCATTCCGCCGACAATCCGTCGTTCGAAGAAAAACTTAAAAGTTTGGCGATGCAAACGATTTTAGACAGCTCTATGGAGTATACGACGAACGTACCCTTTGCTAAACCATGTCTGTCCGTGTTCTAGAGTCGTCGCCCTGTCTGTCCGCGATGCAGTCTTGTTTTCGGCAAGCTGAATCCATCGATCCATGTTGCTCTGGCACATCGCGGCCTGTGATTGGACCGTGCCGGAAGCAGCTGTAGAATACAACGTAAACCCTGCGCGTCAACGTCTCACCTCGTCCCGCCAAAGCATCCGAAATCTATGTATGCACGGGGTACTCCGTGCTGATGGCTTCATTGTCCAGTGCTCATCAGGTATTTAGTGCAGCTCAGGACCCGCTACTGCACCAAGACGGCATCCAGGAACCATCAAGGGCCGGCCTTTAATTGGGAACATGATCTGGATATCGGTGTCCTGAAGCCTAGAGACCCGCCTTTTCTGGAGCCACGCGTTCAGCAAGGGTTCTGGTTCGCTGCATGTTTCCCTGGACCGCCTTGTTTGCTGCCCGCAGTTTGTCCAAGCACCGGAGCAGGTGTGGCATTTTCGGCGCACTCAGCTGTGATGTCTGGGGGGCTCCAGTGCTCGAGTGCTGCATGTGCACGCCTAAAGTAGGTACTTGCCCCAGCAACTAGCTTCAATGTTGGCTTCAGCCAAATTCGTGTCGCCCGTGTAGCCGCACCCAGCCAGGGGGCGCGCAATCGTATTCTTAAGAATTGCCCTCGACATCAAATGCCAGCTTGGCTTCTCCTTGCCCTTCTCCTTGCCCTTCTTGGTAACCTTGCCATCTCCTGAGCATCGGTTCCCCCTTATTTCTCGGGTCTTTTTATTCTTTTCCCATTGACGACGAGCCTGCCGTCGTTGGTCAACGGGCGTCCTTTTATCTTTTTTTTTTTTGAGTTCTCCTAGCTCGTCCCGTCGTTTACTCTTCCTCGAGGCCACCGTCACCCAATACCTTGTTCCCATTTCGCTTCGAAAACACAATTGGCACTTTGGGCTTGCCATCGCCCGATAGTGTCTCTTCTCCCTGTTCCACGCCGGATGAGTCGCGTCGAATTTTTATAGGCTTTATTTCAATCCATTTACCATGGCAGGCGAAAAGGCCGCCGTCGCCTCCGGCGCTGACGTCGGCGAGGGGCTGAGGAAGCGTCCTGTCAATAACGGCACTCCAGCTCCCGTTGCACCCCAGCCCACGGACAACAAGAAACAGGCAGCTCAGAAGGTGAGACCGAAGCAGAAGATGATTGTATGCTGAAGATGCTCACGGCGGATTGAAAATTGACCATCAAGATAGGCAGAAAAGAACCTTATTGACACCTTCGTTGAGTGGGAACACATCATCGCTCCGCTCATCTTCACGGCCCTCGCATTCTTTACACGATTGTGGAAGATTGGTCTGAGCGACATTGTTACCTGGGATGAGGCTCAGTAAGTTTGTTCCGTGTAGCTTTCTGCCGCGTTCTTCATCCCAGCTATGATTGCTGACCTTGGGGAATCACAGCTTTGGAAAATTCGGCAGCTACTACATCAAGCATGAATACTACTTCGATGTCCACCCCCCTCTTGGAAAGATGCTTGTTGGATTGTCTGGTGTTCTTGGTGGATACAATGGATCTTTCGAGTTCAAATCTGGCGACAAGTACCCCGAGGATGTCAATTATACCTTTATGCGTGCCTTCAATGCCTTGTTTGGCATCGTCTGCATTCCCATGGCTTACTACACCGCCCGCGAACTTAACCTCCGCCGACCTGCTGTCTGGCTTGTTACACTGATGGTCCTTTGCGAGAACTCATACACCACTATTAGCCGTTTCATCCTCCTCGATTCGATGCTGCTCTGCGGTACTGTGGCTACTACCCTTTGCTGGGCCAAGTTCCACAATCAGCGCCACAACAGTTTCGAGCCTGAGTGGTTCTTCTGGCTCTTCATGACTGGTTTTAGCATTGGTTGTGTCTGCAGTGTTAAGCTGGTTGGTCTATTTGTCACGGCCCTTGTTGGCCTGTACACTATTGAGGACTTGTGGAACAAATTTGGTAACACCAAGATGCCGATTGTAAGCCCCAGCTGAATCGCTCATTTATTCTTTCCAAGTCCGCCTTCAGTACTCACTAACATCATTTAGACGACCCTGACTGCTCATGTTGGCACCCGTGTTGTTGGATTGATTGTCGTTCCTTTCCTCATCTACCTCCTCTCCTTCGCCCTTCACTTCGCCATCCTCGATCGCACTGGTCCCGGCGACGCCCAAATGAGTTCTCTTTTCCAGGCTAACCTGAAGGGCACAGAGGTTGGAAAGAACAGCCCATTAGAAATTGCCTACGGCTCTCGTGCTACTATCAAAAATATGGGTTATGGTGGCGGTCTGCTTCACTCCCACGTCCAGACATACCCTGAAGGTTCTCAGCAACAGCAAGTCACTTGCTACCATCACAAGGATGCCAACAACGACTGGTTCTTCTATCCCAACCGCCGGGAGCCTGACTACGACGCCGAGTCCCCGGATCTTCGATTCATCGGCGACGGTACCATCATCCGTTTGATCCACGCCCAGACCGGACGTAACCTGCACTCCCACGACATCGCTGCGCCAATGTCCAAGAGCGACAAGGAAGTCTCTTCCTACGGCAACCTTACTGTTGGCGATGAAAAAGATCACTGGAAGGTTGAGGTTGTCCGAGACGTTGCATCCCGAGACCGCAGCCGAATCCGCACTCTGACCACGGCTTTCCGCCTCAAGCACGAAGTTTTGGGTTGCTATCTGAAGGGCACCAATAAAAACCTTCCTCAGTGGGGTTTCAAGCAGATCGAGGTTTCCTGCACCAAGGAGAACAACCCTCGTGATGCATACACCCATTGGAACGTTGAGGCCCACTGGAATGACAAACTGCCTGCCGGTGACCCTGGTGTCTACAAGTCTCCTTTCTTCCACGACTTTATTCATCTCAATGTTGCCATGATGACATCTAACAATGCTCTGGTTCCCGACCCTGACAAGCAGGACGACCTTGCCTCGAAGTGGTGGCAGTGGCCCATTCTGCACGTTGGCCTTCGCATGTGTGGCTGGGATGACAACATTGTCAAGTACTTCCTTCTCGGAAACCCTCTAGTCTATTGGGGCTCCACCATCGGCATCGGCATTGTTGGCCTTGTTGTGGTGTGGTACATTTTGAGATGGCAACGCGGCTTCGCCGACCTAAACAATAAGGAAATTGACCAAATCCACTACTCTGGCATTTACCCTGTTGCTGGCTGGTTCCTACACTACTTGCCATTCGTCATCATGGCTCGTGTCACCTACGTGCACCACTACTATCCGGCTCTGTACTTTGCCATCCTTACTTTTGGCTTTCTTGTGGATTGGACCGTCAGAAACCGCAATACGATTATCCAGGGCACTACATATGGTGTCTTGTATGCTGTCATCATTGGTCTCTACGTCCTCTTCATGCCTGTCTGCTGGGGAATGGTTGGCCCCAACCAGCAGTATAGCTATATGAGATGGTTCGATAACTGGAGAATCAGTGATTAAGCGGGGTTGTCCATGCTATATCCTGCGACGCAGAGAGTGAACGCTGGGGCACTCTTCGTTCGTGGTGACGAACGCAAACAAAACTCCTCTCAAAACACACATCTATCACATTATGGCTTGTAGCTATGCCATATATTAAAAGAAAAGGGAATTTCCACCAAAATAATGGCGTGGGCATGTCAAAGGCGGTTTGTTTCATGATATTTGGGCCGGGCTGGGAATGTATAAAAGAAATGGTGTGTGTGTAGAATTCCCGTAGAGAATAACTCTGCGACTAATGCAATCGTGATGGTTTCCTTTTTGAACACGAGTAACAAGTGG